ATAATTCTAGTTTTAATTAATAAAATAGCTAGTAATAGCTATAAAAACTTATTAAAATAATTAATAGTTTTAAATTATTATAATTTTATTAAAATAAAGAGAACTAAAACTAAAGATTAAAAAAATAAAATTATATTTAATTTTATAAGCTAAAGAATAAAGAATTAATAATAAAATAATAAATTAAAAGCTATATTTACTAATAGAATAGTTGGACCTACGGAATGGCGGTCCAAAATGACCGCTACGGCCGCCTCATACGGCGGTATTTCCACTGCCCAGTCCGCAACGAACCGGCTGCCGCTTTAACGCTTCGTCCCACCACATCGTCCCTGATTCGTCGCAGACACCCTTTCGTCAGGACCCTGTTTCGCAACAGAGCGGTCGTGATCGACTCCTGTCCCCTTCGCAACAGAGTCATGATCCCACCGCGGAGAAAACCTCTGCGACCAGCTCCAACGCTGTCTCCCTCTGACCCGCCTGGTCGGCCACTACATAAGATGGCACCAGCTCCCCCATCTCCCCTGTTCTTCTACCAGCATCCGCTCCCCTCCCTCCCATCTGCTCCTTTCCCAGATCTCCCCAAATCCACGCATTGCCCTCTTGCCCTGATCTCTGCATCATCATACTTCCTTCTCCCATGGCCCCATCCCCAGCATCGGCACCATCAACACCTCCTCCGGCTGCGAATCCCGAAGAGCATCAATACTGGACAGACCCCATTCTCTGCGAAGAAACGCGAGCCAGGCTCGAATATTACCGAAGCCTAGGATGGCTTCCTCCCAATCACAAACCAAAAACCCTGGAGGGAATCGCCGTGGTTGAGCGGTACTGGCGAAAGTATGTTCTAGACGCGTAACCTCTGACCGAGTTACTCCAACAAAACCACTAACCGCGGACAGGTACTGTCTCCAATCAAAAGAGGAATATGAGAAGTATCTTCTCTCCGAGGACCAGGCAATCTACATGAATTTTTTCGATTGGATGCACAAGACGTCCCGTGAGAAGCGTCTCCAATCCTACGATGAATACTGGCGGCGCCTCAAGCAGTATTTCAGCCTGTTCGCCAGACGTCGTATGGACCCGGAAGTCCAAGAACAGATGCGACGCGTATACCGTATTCTCTTCCCCTGTGATGTACACGACTGATGGAAGAAAAACAGTTTATCAACCAAAGATTCCCCGCCGAACACTCCATCTCTCGACGGATGAAGGAAAAGCATACACTATCCGTGGACGCCTTCTGTATTCTGTACCGCCACCATTGGATTCATTCAAGATTTTTTCGTCATGGGAGCATGCTAATACAATTCGCTACGATCCAACTATGGTCGTCCATTACTGGAACACGGCCCGGTGTGCTTCTCCCGCAGAGGACCTATCTACCCGACAGTATGACCGTGCGCAAACGAAAAGGAGGCTTAACTTTCCAAAGTGACATCCCCAAATATATCTCGGCCACTGATCTTCCCGATTCGGTGTGTTATCGAGATATTGAACTCTTCTATCTTCGAGATCCGACCGGCAACCGTGACGTTCTATGTGCCATCATTGAGTTTCGTAACTTGAAAGGCCGACCTGAGGGTGCCGATGGGTAAGAGCAATCACTTCCACCCTTAAAGCCCGACCATGCTAAAGCCTGCCTCTAGAACCAAGTTTTTCATGCATGGCGATTATCAACTCGCATACTGCCCGATCTTGCAAATTATCTCGTACGCATTTCGTGACGGGGCCTTCGCCAATACGACACTGACACCAGAGTTAATTTGGCAACTCCAGGTGCCAGACTACCTGGCTTCCCTTCCCCTCCATTGGAAACCGGAGGTCCTGGACACCCCTCTTCTGCGGCATGTCCACTCCACAGAATACGGCCTCGAACTTCACAAGTTCCTGCCGATGGCGTATGCCTCCAGCCGAGAAGCGCTGCAGGAGTTGGGTCGAGATGCCAAGTTCGAGGATGATGTCGGCCACTACAATTATCGGCGTTGGACTGCCAACGAGGCAAACCGTATGTCTAAAAGAAAAAAACCTCTATCGTGAGATCTGGTCATATCATCTAGGATCTAACATGCTATTACAGGGAACTTCACGAGCCAGGAGCGGCAAAGGGTGCTCGGTCAATCCGGTGACGGGGTCTTTGAAAGGCACTACCAATCCCACTTTGTTCAACGCGATCTTCAAAATGTGGTGCTTCTCCGGCCACCCCAGGAACACCTCCTTCAGGCCGCGGGGAGCATGCTCCGGAAGCGGGATCTGTCCGCTCCCTCCTCCGTACTGACCGAAGAGCAGCGTCGCGCTGTTTGCCAGGACCCACGGATTTTAGAGCTCAGGCGCGCAAAGCGAGAGGTAATGGAGGAGATGCGATCTCTTGCTGGGACCAAGAAGAAAGCCGAGAAGCCTTTCCCGCATCTCTACCAGAAGCATGAATCGCTTTGCAAGGAGCTTTCGCAGTTGAGGAAAACCTTAGCGAAGGACATCAAGAACACCGCCAGAAAAGAGCACTTCCATAATGCGCCGATCCTGGAAGTCGCCAGGCAGATCAAGCGACTTCTCGGTGAGCTCGATTCTGAAGATAGTGACGTTGACAGGCCCGACAAGAGGGACTGGGAACTTCCTATCCCCACCTACATCTTCCCGGAACGGGAGCGGCTTGTTGATTATTTTTATGGCCCAGATGCAGAGAATTACGAGCATGATCAGCTTCTTGCAAGACGGATCCAGGCAACCAAAGATATGGTTATGCTCAGTACCCTCTGTGAACCGAACCGTCGGGGCAATCGAGTTAACTGGAATTTCGACGATCACGAGTCTGCGGAACCGGAAAAGCCATGCGCTGTCGAAGAGGAAACTCTTGACTGCCCGACGGATGTTTGCATCATCTGTTACGGTCTATCCCGCTGTTCCGCGTCGAATCCACCTCCACACCGATTTCCTCCTAAGCGACAAGACTCTCTCCGGCGCCATGTGATCGATTGTCACCTCGCCAAAGCGTACGATGGGATCAGTTGCACCTGGAAGATATGCCACGAGGTTCCGAAGTTCACCCACACCACAGATTTCTTGGCCCATGCCTTGTACGTGCACGCGTACGATATTAATATTCAGCGGCAACATCTGCCTTCGTGGCAACTTGTTAGTGACTGTGAAGATTCATCCTTCGATGATTCAGATTCCTCTTCTGGATCCGATCGCGATTCTGGCGTAGACACCCCTGCTTCCTCTATCACATCTGAAACGACGAATACCGAGCCTGACTTGGTCGAATTTGGCTCTGTTCATTCCACACAATACCCAGTGCGCCGGTCAAAGAGAATCAAAGTATCTGTATGAAATCTAGATATAGGGGCTTCTTCGACGACTTGCACAAATATGTTTCTTTTGAGTCATCTTTAAGTTTATAATTTCCACACACTTATATCGTTTCGGCGCGTTTCAGTCTCTTTTATGAATAGAGTCCATTTCAGTTTTCAACCATTGTATTTTAGGTTTGTTGTATTTAGACATTTGCAAGTTCTGTTACACGATGTTTCCTTAGACCTAGGATCCAAATAGTAGAGATCATTTGAGAATCCGTGCGGCTTCATGGTAATGTTGGTACTTCAGCAGTATATCACGGTTTCATAGGTCTGGATTAAGTGGTAACCCTGGCAATGTAAAAAGCATGAAGCAACTTGTAGCCGGGGCGGATGCCTTAAGACGCCCAGCTGTCTGGTATCATCTTCAACGTCCGGACAAAGGAGACAGGATACAGATTGTCCAACGTATGCTGCCATGAAAGACGCCGAGAGCAACTGCAACAGTGGCAAAAAGATGGTCGAGATCTATACCTAGCCGATCAATTCGGTCGGTTCCAACCCATGGTATGTCGATACGCATGGTTTGAGACGTCCTGCGGGTCGATAACTTATTAAAGTTGAGACTAAAGGTTTTAGTGCCCGCACAGTTTTAAAACTACATTTATGAACTTACGGCTGGGATGATCCTCACGGACTTAACCTTGAGGACTAAATCAATGAATTTGACTACATAGAGCTGCGTCTTCTGCTGGTATGGCCTAGCGATAGATTTGTACTGTTAAATTGATACTTGGCACCATTTGAGCACGACCGTAATGTCACCCACCCTAGGCCCAAGAATAACGGAATCATCCATCCATTCAGTGCCTTGTCCACAGACTCTATAGTTCTGTCCGTGTCCATGCTTGCTACGGCTTTCCGTTACACTTTCTTTTCTAGTAAGACGCGTTGTAAAGTCCATGAAAATTTCCAATCCCAAATCAGGTAAGTAGATTCCGTTCTGTTAATACAATTAGAGCTCAATAATATCACGCCAGTCATACAGACCACAGCTTCATGACGGAAGTAGAACGTAATTAATCAAGCAAGATACACGGCTCCAGACTGACCCAGGCATTAATTTCAAGAAATCAGGGGCAACGAAAACGATATTGAGTGGCTAAAACCATTAGAGCAAACAAAAACAGGCCGAAAGAACACTGGACGCGACAGTTCTCTAACGAGGACATGACCGCATTCACTTCCGTCCAACATCAACTCCACAAGTCCTTGCCACAAATCCGAATTCGCGGTCATTGCGACAGACACTCAAGGAACAGAGCTCGCCAGCATACATTCTTTGAAATTCACCGTCTCCGGTCCGATCATCCCGATTTCGCGCTTCATGGAATATGCAGGTGAGGACAGCCTTTATGCCGGGAAGATCGCCGGCTCGAGTAAGGTAGTTGCGTGTCACGGGAGGCAATTCACTCCGCTGGTGAACAATTTGTAGGACATTCTCGACCGTGGGAGTAAGATTCAAATTTAGACAGTCACACACGCGGGCAAATAGATTTACATATCCCTGACGGATCGATCTCTTTGTTCTGAATTTCTTTTGGACGTCATGTGCGACGTGTCTTAGCCACGGGTCATTGTCCTCGACCCAGAACTTGCCATCATCGATGTCGTCTGACAGAAAATCAAAGATCGTGCTGGCTTGGTCCAGCAAGGCCAGCTTCATCCGTGGGGAGAGAAACCCTCTAATACACTGACCACAAGTGCATCCGTACATGAGGCGAGAGTTGAAAACGTTGGGATCTTCACCACTGGGAGGATGCATACCAAGCAAGGAGAGGCACTCTACTGCGGGAGAAGGAAACCCCTGAAATTCATCCGACACATGCAGGTTTCCCATAAACAGGTGTCTTTTGGTTCGTATGTCTTCGAGAAATTCTCTCAGCACATCCAGAGGGGTATCTCCATTCATGTCACGCGCCGCCTTCCATGACACTGCCAAGTCGACGTTCGCCAGAAGCCACGTTATGCTTTTCGTTTTCAATCTGCGTGCAAGGGTGTGCAAAATGGTCCTGTTTGTGCGGTCCACCATAGTCAAGCCAATGCCATTCTCGACTGCGGCTTTCTTGAGGTACTCCACGCACTCTAGATCCGAAAGTGTAGTTGCAGCGTGGTGTAGCGGGAATTCCTTTCGCAGAGTGGACAAAGTACTCTGGCCTTGCTGAACCTCTACTCCATATGGAATGATATAATCGGCCCCTCCCGGCTCGTCCTCCCGGTCGTCCAAAGGCTCAATCTGAGGATCAAAGTCCCTATCGGGGGAGACCGATCGGGATTGATGATTTGGATGGAATGAATAAGCAAAACACGGTGAGGAGCCGATACGTCGAAATCCGAGAGATCTATAAAATGAAGCAGCGACGTGGTTTGCTTGGAGCTTGACTTCATTTTTCTGGCGCTTTGTTTTGTCAGTATATCGAGGGTCGACATCCTCAGTAAGCCATCCAGGTATTACAATCGCATGAGCCGTAGTCACCCTCTGAAACTGTGTAATGGAGCCGAATTCCAGAGCTATGAGACCAGGTGACATATTCCGTGGCTTTGCGTCATCCACACGCTTCTCGCCGACCACGAGGAGCTCTCTGACCATTGCGCGCCCTACACCTCTCCTTCGCCATTCAACGTCCGTAATGAATATCTTTTCAAAAACCAGGAGGTGACCGTCGTCAAGCTCAGAACCCCATACACCTGTCCCCCGGTGCACGGTATGCGACTTGAACTTATCCTTGAGGAAACCGTACCGGTCGAAGATTGTCCATGCTATTTCTCCTATATCCTGGGAACATCCCTGCATTTTCTCCCAAAAGTCCTTTGTGATGATTCCCCGGTAGATAAATCGAGCAACAGCATGCCCGATCGCCTTGCCCTCGTGGGTGCACTTGACCGTTATATCATCTCGCCAAACACGCGGCGATATTGAAATCTTAATTTTGACAGTCTGGTTTGTACCATCATCTAGCAAGAATTTTCTCTCAATCAAAGTAGGTTTGCACTTGCAATAGGACCTGGTTTCACTATCATAGTCGTCCTCGGAGCTGTCAAATTCGTCGCTCTCCATGAACGTAATGTCTTCTGAGGCTGAGGTAACATTTTGGGCTTCTCGTAACCGGACAGCGCCGGCTGTCTCGTGGAGGATATCCATCGAATCTCTTCAGCGTGGCACGTTGGTACGTTATGCTCTAGGCGAGAGGGGGATCGTTCAGATGATGCAATGCGACAGTCGTGCGGGAAATGGCCTTTCCAAGCAGTCAAGATGCTACTTGAGAATCATCTGCACCTAGATACAACATACTTGAAAGGATGAAGGCGGGCGGAGTGAGTATATAAGTTTCATTTCTCGACGAAACAGCTTGTTTGATGCCTATTTAGTTATCTAGCCATTTGAAACGAGGAAACGGGAGCTCCTATGAGCTCCCATTTGAAACGAGCCGATGACTCAGCTCCCTGTTCATACATTTCGACGCGAGCCCCACTGCCAAAACGACGAGGCCACAATTTATAAATAAATTAGTTACAATCTGCTCTGACGAATGGCCAATTACCAATGACAAGAGCTTATCCACCATTTCACAACAGATTGAGTGGTCACATATCCATGGATTAAGAATCATTGCTTCAAATATATTTTGGAGATATCGTATTTCACTGAGTCAATAGGCTCAAAATTGGATCTATCCTAGGGAGAAAATACAGAAGATGACTAGAAACGGCAGTGCTGGGAAAGAAGCCAAGATATATAGAGCCAACACTACCCTCATGTTTGGGGTGTAACCAGGACGCCTCTGTCATTGCTCTGTTTTACTAAGCTGCCGTCTGATTGTAACTCAGAGTCGAAGTTTCTGGGCGCACTCAAGTGGTAAGACCATCACTTCCTCGTTTATCTGTTGCGTTGAGTTTCACGCTAAGTATATTAAGCCATCATAAATTGACATTTGTAGTCCACTTCTAGAACCTTTTGTGCCTGCTGCCGTCTTTGCTGATCTCTATGGAGAAGGCTCTACGGATATAGGCAAACTCAGACATGACGTCAGTCTGTTTCATACCGCATTTTCACCTAGATTGCCTGGTATAGCGCTAATGTTTATTAGTAAAAATAAATAATGGATATATAACCACTATTTAGAATAGGTGTTAGGTGTTAGGGGTATGATTAAAACCTGAGTCGACTTTAATCGCCAATAAGGTACAGAAGGGAATCATCGGTCTATTATTCMCCCGCCAATGTCTTAGATCTCTCCGAGAGAAATGTGTCACTGCTAAATACAGCCTCTCAGTCAAACCACGGTACTTCATACGTTAACAGTGATCTAGCATCAGATCCGCCTAGAAGCTTTATACTCCATCGTCTGTTTGATGATGGAACTTTCTCAACCGTAGTCGGAAGAGGCCGTCTCTTCCAACAAAGCCAATAGAGTCGGGAATAAACAACGCGACCATGAGGAAGAAGCAGGTTACATTATAGATGACTTGAAATCTGGAAAGTTTATTATTCTTCTCTAAGAAACTCCTAGAGTCAAAATGAGCCATTGCTAAGCATAGCGTTATATGCCACGTAAACGAACTAGGAAGCTGGTTATCAAGTCCCATTATCGTTTCATGCTTAAAGATATCTCAGTTTCCTCAAGTATTGAGAATGATCCTCACATTACTGGATAATTTGCTAACGTTGGTACGCATAGAATCAAGAGGTGAATACTATCACGTCACATGTCTTGAGCGTCTTCTGCCCGATTTGTCTACTCTACTCCGAGATAGCAACTCAACAGGATATCTAGATATCTGCAAAGGCCAGAGCACTACACAGCGGGCTAATTTCCAGGGTCTGCAGCCTTTGAAAAACGGTCGAGAATTGGCCGGTATGTCGGAACACAGATAGCCACAATACCTATACAGACTTCAATGCAAGACCATATAGCATGACTCACGTTGTCCCCTTCATAGCTTTAGTTTCAATCTCGTCATCAAGATAGAGTAGGCTTTGACATACAACTGGGGTCGTCTGTGCTGTTCACCGTATGTGCATATGTTAATCGTACAATACCCGCAATGCATGCACTTCAAAAACATCAGCAGGAGGGATCAATAAAGAATGGATGACTTTGACGTACAATGAGCCTGAAATGAGTGCGAGAATGATTAGTACTCTTCTTCTCTTTTTCATTTTCAGTGACCAAATAATAGGGATAGGAAGAGCTAGGATGACGAAATCGGTAATAATGTTGAAGATGCCACCAATTAGCACGAACTTCCCATAAGCAATACATTGGCCCTTGATGGAGGCATTCCATTGGGAGTGAATAGGTACACATCTAAAAATGGTACCGAAACCAAATGTAATTGCCCATGTAGTGATGAATGTCGCCATTGCAACGATCGGGGTGCGAAGATATCGGTGCGTAAGGAGAAACAGTCGTGAGTATAGGAGTAGAATTGAAAATTTGACACAAGCAATGGCAACAGGGAATATAACTCCGCAGGCAATCATGGTCTGAATGTCACATTAACAAGAGTAATCAATGATGTGACAGCGAAGATATATGTTTACCTTGGCAAAGGCACCAGCGTTCGTGACCATAATTGCATGCTTTCCCAAACCCCACTGCGTGGCCAAGGCAAAGTATATCAGGAGGCTGGTGTACACTGCCTTTATATATATTAGGTCATTCACATTAGATTGTTATCATAGTCGTGTTGCATACCAAGGCTATGCAGACTGCCCAATCATCTAAACCGATACCGAAATTGACCATCCGCCTCGCCACGAGTCGCAAAGCGACGGCGATATATGCAACCAAGGAACATGCAATTGAAGTGGTAATGATTTCGTTGACCCTGGACTCGTTTTTATGCTCTTCTATGTATTGAGGGTCTAGTGCCGAGGCGTTTTGCTCAGTCATCCTAACAATGGGTTGGTGGCCAGTTAATGAAAGAGAGGCAATTGGTGTCCAAAGAGCATAACCTGGATCGGAAAGTAATCATCACAAGTAGAGGTATTGTGATTATCTATATCATGGGGAAAGGAGACATAAATCAGACTTTAAATATACGATTAGAGAAGAGAACAGTTGAAGATATGGCCCGGTTAGGAGAGCCTCATTCCACAATATCAGCATTCCAAAACATCACGAGCAGGCCTGCAGGGTGCAGGTCAGCCCATATCACCGGTTACAAGCAGTAGCTCACGAAAAATAGGACTGTTCAGCACCTCACTAGCCCGGAGTAACACAGGGGCCGATTATATCCCACATGGAATGTGCCTCATAGTTCGGATTTCTTTGGAGAAGATCTGCACTGGGAGAGTGCGTATGGCCCCAGCAATACCTTGCTTCGAAATGTAGAGTGGTCTGTATCATGCTGCAGATGTGAAACACTCGAATCACAATAGAAGTGATCCATGACCAGTATTCTGGAGCGTACTCTGTATATTAACATTTATTATTCTGTGTAACTAAACAAGAGGTCAAAAGTGGGGGCTGTAATTCGGCGTCCACAATGCTTTATTGCTCATAATCAAACATACCGCAATTAAGCCGGCCTCTCATTCGGAATGCATGTGCTAAATTCGTACTCTAAATGGGGGCGAGTGAGCATTTCAGCAAGATTTTGCAAACGCATGTACGAAAATTGGCGAGAAGGGCGAGTAGAGTGTAAATATTTGACGATTATGACGACGAGTAAGTTGGGGCGATCTTCAAAAAACGAAATATTGAGCGTCGATCTCTAAATGGGGAAGATCAGATCCAACACAAAAGTATTACTGAGTAATACGAAAATACACACAAACATAATAAATTTACACCCGGCGACTAAGCCGAAAGGGCAAGTTTTGTCAAAATGTGAGTAGTCTTAAGTTGACGGTGACACGGCTGCTGCCCGTAGTGTTGGTCTCCTCACAAGATTCATTCTCACTTGCGCAATCTCCTCTTCATGACGCCTTATTTCGTCACAGTTTTCGCGAAAGGCCCGGGAGTCCACGAAAACCGCATACCCTGAAACGATTATTTTTTTGGCATCGACTGGATGGAATATAATTTTCGGAAACAGACACCAAGACTGCTGTATTGTAGGTTTATGCGCAGAGTCCTCCTTTGATTTCACATTGACATCTTCAAGCTCTGGGCAGTCTTCTGCTACCCAACCCGGGCTGCAGACTGCGGGGGGCTGAAGGTCAAATTCCACCAGGCAGCTATCCCGTTTCAATTCATTCCAGAACCTGATCGACTCTTGAAGAATTTCTCGCAGCTCATCCTCAAAGGCCCTATGCTCTTTGGCTGGGATTAGCCGTCGAAGAAATCCCATGATTCCTGTTTCTTCTACGTGGATATCCTGTGAAGTTCGTGTTTCGAGACCTTTGAAACTGAGGAAGCGCCACAAGCTCTCCGTATGACGGTCCTCTCCAGCAAGTGCGTGAGTAATTTGCGATAATATGGCCGTCGTCTCGTGTGAAAGAGGCTGAGTAGTGATGTAGAACGGCTGCCAAAAAAGTTTGTGAATTGCGTGGACGATTGTGCATTGAGCACCGCGAACGCGAAGAAACTTAGATGTCACAGATGCGGATAGAGAAATGGTTCCAAGGATGCTATTCATGTGGTGGAACTCCTTCTGTGTCTCCTCAATGTTCTTCCAACATTCAGTTATAGGCTCACAAAATGGAGACAAGATTCCACTCACAAATTCGTTATCTGGTGGTAAATTCGACAAGAAATGCTGTGCTATGGCTTGAATCTTTTGACGTATCCTTGAAAGTTTTTCTTCGCTGTTCAAGAATTAGGAGATGTGAAAATAATAAACGGATATAACGTACTAGTGCTCGATAGGTAGACTCTGGGTAGGGTATCTCAATTTCAGCTCGTCCACTTGCGACTCTAAAGCGTTGGAATTTTGGACGTATAATTTGAGGGTTTTCTCAATCTGAACCTTTTCCTCAGTTAGAGTACCTATCTTCTCATTGAGCTTCGTATTTTCCCTCTTCAACCGCTCAAATTGCGAAGCATTCGCTTTGACAAGTTTGTCTCTTTCTTCCTCGAGTTTCTTCTCAAATTTCCTCTCCTGTTGTTGTATGAAGCTTGTTTGCTTCACTTTTTCTTGTTCTATTTGCTTCTTCAATGCCTCTTGACCCTCCTTAAAACGGGCCTTCTGATGTTCTAATTCTGCCCAACGCGTAGCAGCTTCCACAGCCTCTGCCTTGAGGCCTTGAATTTCTTCATTGTTAGAACGCTTTAATTCCATAATAGTCATAGTAAGGGATCTGATTTTCTGGTCTTTCTCCTGGAGACTAGCCACTGCTTGCTCAATTTCTCCAACATCGTTATTATATGAAGACAAGAATTGCATCACGTCAATTATGCGAGAGATGGGTTTTCGGGGTATTTTCCCAGCATTACCAACATCAAGTTGTTCATCACTATCTGGAGATGCTGCTCCCCGAGCGTGAAGTCGAGCTAGTTTCCTCTGGTCCCGTCTAGACAATCGCGAAGAGGTCTCAAGTCGGATTAGTTTGTGACACTTGATGGAGAACGAGTTATTACCTGAGAGTTGGTAGGGCTATGTGAGCGACCATTCATCGTGAAAAGCCTCTTAGTGACACCGGCAAAGAACGACTTTTCGATCTTGTTAGTCATCTGTAAATTTTCTTGGAAATAGAGGGGTGAGTCCGGATCCTATATATACAGTTCAAGGACACCGAGTTCCTTCGATCAGAGAGAAGACGCCTCTATCCTAGCTTGCCTCACTTCTAAGAGAAGGGGTCGTATGGGATTTTGCACAAGGCTGGCTACGATACGTGTCACGATAAGATTTGTCTCGTTTTTCACCTCGCCCCGAGATTGTGCTTCATGGACAAGGCTGAACTTTCAAGGACCAGAACCCGCCAAAGCCACTGTTCACAGGTCGATACCCCGCTCTTCCGTCGATATTGTTATTCGAAAACCAACAAAAGTCGCATTGATGATGAATGACTCTACGTCCATGATATCTTGCAGGGGTAGTAGACGCACCCATCGTGGCAACCATGCCGCTTGCCTTATCAATGCCTGATATTAGCTTGTACAACTTTGTTTGCACGCCCTCTTAATGAATAGAGACGCAGGAAAAAGACACCCCGACCCTCATGCAAATAGCGTCGTGGATGCTATATCAATCCCAGTCGGGCGACACAATTGCACAATAGGCAAGGTTGATTGCAACGCGGGCGTTTCCAGGCTATCTATGACAGAGTTAGACGATCCCCATGAACCAGAGACCTCATGTGCAATGTCTCAAAAATCTCGTCCAATCACACCTCAGAATGCAGTCTCAGTGGTTGCCTTGTTTGTGTTCGATTACTCCAAGTTGGATTCTAGATGAGCATGGTTGTTGAGGTCCGGGTTGCGCACGGACAGCAAATACCGGTACCCGTAGGGTCGATTCGTGAGGGGTGACTGTGCCGCATTCTGCCTGGAAATACCCTGAACAGAAATGACCGCAAGTCGACCTATGCAATTAGTATGTGCATGAAGTTCGACTTGAACAAGATCTTGATTGGGTGCTCAATTTTGTCGATAATGAGAGATCAACCAGGTATTTATTCATTACCGACAAATTGCGGTGGGAAATCCCGCAGGTATGAGGATTGACAAGGCTGAATAACTGGAAAATGGCAAAGCTGACTTAACCGACGGAGGGTTGCAGGCCATTGTTGACGCCAGCATGGTTGAAAGCTTGTGTAGTTGATAGCGAGTCTTAGCGTTTAAGCCTTGAAGTCATTCACGTCTCTATATGTTCTTGTCTCGGTCGAAGATGGCAGAGTGTGTCTTCAGTATTCGTTGGAATGTAGAGTTAGAGAAGTCTCCAAAGCATTGTGTTGTCTGAGCTTTGGTGGAAATGGATTTTACTGAAGTGAGAAGTCCATTTGATGAGCCGATTGGTTGAAGAATATCGTCTTGTGCCGTGATGTTCTCGAAGATATTAACACTAGGTGGCTCGGACCGGGTGTTCGGCAGTATAGAAATCAGTGAACTACACATTGCGCGGCTGCTGTTCGGCGAATTTTGAAGATCATCAATCAAAAGCCACAACTTCACAAACGGAAGCTTGGCGCTGCAAGCCACCCATAGGCGATATGGTCTGATGCGCTGATAACAACCCTTGTCGATATGCAACTACAACCAATTATTAGTACACACGAATCAGTCACGAGGGAGTAACTTGCATGCTGTACAACTCCAAATCTTGATTAACACATTCCCTTCCCAATCCCCTTCAGCAACCGATCATAATCTGCCCTAAGATCAAGAATGCTTGTTTATGAAATTGCAATTACGATCGATTCCAAACGAAGTGCTACGCCGGATCAGAATAGGATCTCCACAATTACCTCCAGTGTGGTATTTAGGCCATGACACGACAGCGGAATGGAGCACGCTTCGAAGCCACAGGAAATACTATATATTTTGTTCTGACGTAAGGGATCCTTGCCAGTTTGAGCTTAATCAACGTGTCGTCATACGGAGATAATTCCAACTCGCTGCAATATAATCGAACCTAAGAATCATGATGGAGTCCGAGAAAAACCTTCAGATTAATTGTGCAGAAGATATTTCTCTGTTGTCGCTGCTGCATTCTATTCCAGAAAAGCCAAGAAGTAACCCGTTGAATTTTCAACCAAATTCTCGAAGTCAAATATATACACTCCCCTTCGATAAGGAACGCAGCTTCACGGGAATACTTGCGTTTATTGCAAGCATCAGAGGTGACTATAAACACATACCTGCTGTATGCGTTGGAGAGAGTTGTGATTCGGATTACCTGAAAATCTTCCTCGCTGTTAATAAAGTGGGGACCAATGATGGCAACAGCATCCTCAATGATATGAAGCGCGGCCTTGATCAGATATTTGGTCTTCTTGAGAGCGGATTTAATAGTAAGTTCTATGAAAAAAAGGCTTGCGTTGAAGAGACCTCTGATCAAGTAAGGTGAACGTAATCCTCGTGATGTAGAACATGAAGTTTTTACACAAGTGGTGTCCATGTGTTCTTCACGGATACTGACTCGGCTAGGTTTATCGTCAGGCAAGAGAGGTACCAGGAGATCAATCAATGACAGTCTGCTCCAAGTCGTCAGATATGTCAAGAAGATGGATAACCACCAAATAGAAGGCCTGGGGTTAACAACAACTGTGGGGTCATTCTTACAAGCAGCAAAAGAGACAATCAGCCTCGTGAATGCTTGGTGTAATCACCAAACGTTAACGGAGCTTGAGAGACTTGTTGATGGTATCTATCGATTCCACCGACAGCAATCAATCGCCACCGCTCTGCGCCTAGTATCGGACAAGGACATAAATCCTTCATTGAAAACGAGTCTTTTGAACATGACTAGTAAAGTGGCAAGATATAGAGAAGCCGCCACAATCTTAATTAGAGTTGCAAGAAAGTTTCCCATTGTTCGTCAGGCAAGAGTCGAGTCGATATGTTTCCCACCGGAGTCATTTCAATCTCCGGCAATTGGCAACTACAAGCCTGATCTTCTGTCAGCAATTTCACGAGTAGTGCCGAAATATCATACTACCAAGATCGGCCAGATATGGAAAGTATTACGATTGACGGAATCAGGTGCCGCTAATCGATTCGCGGAACAAGCTCAGAACACATTGCAACAAGCGAGAATTCACGCTGAAAAACAGCTCATTTTCCACTGCGAGCTTCAACTAGACGTCAAATTTCCTCGAGTGATTTGCTCTAGTAAAGATGCCTGTTTTCTGTGCGATGCGTTCATATCTCTGCATGGGAAAACATATACACCACGATGTCACGGCAGGTTGTATCCAGGTTGGAGGCTTCCCTACAATCCCCAATTGATGAACTTACAACGAAGTCTCAATCGGTATCTTGAGAGTGCATGTAAGGAGAGCTTTGGAGCCTTGATGTCGACTCGGAAAAGGATCGCTTATCCGTGTCCACTCGAAAGTACACTTTTGACATTACCGACATCGGTGTCGGCAAAGGATAGTCTTCATACCAGTTTAAGCTCGACGAAAGCAATTCCTTTGGGAGACAGTGTAGGTGGGAACAGTAGTTCAATACTAGAGACGGATGAGAGTTATCCATGTCGTTTTGAGAAGCCAGAGGTGGATCAACCCGCCAGAATTACGGAGAATCCACTGGCGAAGAATGTTGCGTGGTCAGATCACCGCCTGCCAAGAAAGGTTTGGCCGGACTATGATGAGCCGTCTATTTATCAAACGCTCATTTCAGGTACCAGTCTGACAAAACGAATGAAAGATGTTTCATCATTGTACGCTGCCGGCTCTTTGGAAGTGCAGATTGAACATGATCGCCAACCAGTGCTCCGCTCGGAGGACGTCATCTTTACAATCGAATGGCTCTCAATCGAAGATGTCCAAAGAGGAGAGATTTGTCATTTAGGATGCATTGTACAAGCTGAATCACTTGAACGCGATATAACACTTGAATTGTGTCATGAAAAAAACATCTATATCGCAGTAGGAAGTTCATTAGTAAAACTCAAATTTCATTGAGATCAAACCGCATAGAAGACCCTGACAAGCGTGTTACTCACATTGCTTGCCTCAACCCAATCCAACTTCGACTGCAAGCGTCAACATAGCCAGAAAATACACGATTTAGTCATGTCAGACACTAATTATAGCGTTGATGATGTGTGAATACCTGCCCTTCTTCGAGGGTCTTGAGATTGTGGAGTGACTCGTGCCACCGAGACCCCTTGAATAAGTCAGGGTGTCGTTCGCGTCGCGCTTCCTCTTCTGCGTAGTCAAGAGGTTTCTTGCCCTGAAAGTCATTTTCATGTAATAAGTGAACAATATCTCTCTCTCGTAGAAAGCTCGTGAGGTTTTCGTTGAAGGCACCGTGAATTGCTCCATGATGCAGTGCATTGCGGTCCTTGGCGTCTTTCGCTCTGATATCTAAAGACCGCAGCAATCGCTCTAGGACAAGGGCATTATCGCTATCCCACTGGTGCATCACTCGGTGTATTAGGCTCTCTTTTTGTTCGCTAAGCCAGGTCACATCGGCGCCATTATCCACTAAACAGTCAAAGACATCCACTCGAAAAAGCAAGTGAAATGATCCCAAGTATAGGCTGAGAACCGATTCCCCGTTATCATCTAATAAATTGAGGTCGAACCCAGACTCTGAAAGCAAATTAATTAGTTCAATGGAACCAAAATCGGATTTTGCATGATGATGTAGAAGTTTCATCTGCAAAAGGTCACTGTGCTGGCTGTTTTCCCGTGATTGCTGACGATGCAATTCCAAGAGATCCCGTACAACCTCAGTTTGGCCTTCCCCCACCGCATAATGAAGGGGAGATAGTCCATATTTGTCTTGCAGGGTAATGCTGCAATTTCGACTCGTTAATATTCGAACAGCGTCCAAGTGTCCCGCCCCGCATGCCAAATGAAGACACGTCTGACCTCTGTTGTTTGATTTGGACAAGTCGGCACCCTTTTTGATCAGCTTCATTAATATGTCTGATGCGTACCATTTATCAAAAGGAATCACATGATGCGGACAATCTCCTTGATTATTGGCAATATTGATATTGACAGAACCTGACCCCAAAAGTACGCCAACAATACGTACTCTTGTGGTGTCTATTTGGTTGATGATCTCAACGGCTTCACGTTCCCAATCTGTAATAAAACTTTGGAGGTCTTCAATGGAATAGTCTCCAGTTATCCAGTGATCATCATATCTAGACCCCAGAATCGTACGCCGAATTGCCAGATGCAATGGTGTATCACCCGTTTCCGATTGTGAGTGCAGATTGGCATCCTGAAGACATAGGAAATTGGTCATTTCTATATTTCCGTTCAAAGCAGAGAAGTGAAGCGCAGTCATCCCTGGAGCGGAAGCTCTATCCGATGGGTCTTCAGGGCTTTCATCAAGCTTATAAGTAACGTAACCATTTTGCATTTGACCGGTCCAAGAACGTCGATGAATTGCATGGTTTATGTCGTATCCATTTTGAAGAAGAAGGAGCGCTAGATCTTGTCGTCCGCATGCGACGGCATACAGAAAAGGAGTCATATTCTGTACATCGAGCTCATGCGCTGAGACTCCCTGGTTTAAAAAGTATGACAGCAATGCATAGCTGCTATCAGACTGCCGAGCTTTGCAAATGAGATGTAAAGTGTTTTGATGCATGTTGTTGGATGTGTGGACGTCAGCTGTGGCTTCGGCTAGACGATGAACAGCTGCAGCGTGCAAATTTTCCACTGCAATAAGCAATGCCGATTGGCCATAAACATCCTTCACCTCTAGATTTGTCTGTGTGTGAGCAAATTGTCGAACGAACTCTTCGTTTCCAACCTCGGCTGCAAAATGGAGAGCCGACCTCGACTGATTGTCAAGCAGTTCATGATTAGCACCCCAATGTAAAAGAAGGTTGACAGCTTCTTTCTGGGATTCTATGACCGCCCAATGAAGTGGAGTTTTACCACTTTGATCGACGGTATCTACATGAGGCGGCAGCTTGTATGGAGTCTTTGACAGCCTCAAAAGTCCCGTCACTAGGCCAAACACAGCCGAGACCTTAGATAGAGAAAAGGGTATAAGACACCCGATGCCCCACGTTGCCGCGACATGTAGAATAGAGAATCTTTGAGGGAGAGGACGGTGCTTGCGATAGGCTTTTAACCACACCTCACGCTCAGCGGAAATGGGACAAAAGAATACTTGATATTTAGGCAGAATTTTGAATTCCACGTCTGCGGAACTAGCGTGTTCAGGCCAGTAAAGGGTGGCATATTCAAGAAACGAATCACGCTGTTGATCCACTTGCTCGTGAAGGTGACCAATATTGTCTAACATGTATTCAACACATCTATTTGCCAGAGATGCGTGGACTTGCAGCTCGTTGATAGAGAATGGATGTGTCGAAATCAGAAGAAAATCTCTGACTGATTTGTGCAAAAGACGCACAAGTCCATCTTGGATAAAGACCATAAGACAGCACCTGTGAACATATTCTTCTGTATACTTCTTTCGATGTTCATTGTCCTCTTCTTCGTAGAATTTGCAGGCGATAGATAGCTCTAGAACGCTAAGAGGACGTCTCGATGTTGCGACAACGGCAAGGATCCGTGAAAGAGGATCCAAGATGTCTTCATCCGCGTCTAGCGCCATTTCTAGCAATTTGGCATAGAGAGAATGCAATCCTTGTGGTAAGCTGTGTAGTTTCTTGATAGCCTCTCGTGAATCAATACCTTCCAATTTCTCACACGCAAAAGCAACCCATAGAAAGGTTCCTTCTGCCTTTTCTTTAAGTATTCGTGATACATCTCGTTTTGTTCTCGCGGTATAGCATTTTCTCAATGCAAGGTCATTGACTTTCTGCTCAATAAATACTTGAAGGTCATCTTGGACTTGCTGATAAGTGCCCAAGTCTTTCGATCTATATGGATCGAGGTACTCTCGGATTTCAGGAAATGGTCGACTGATTATCAGAAAATGTATTTTACCGATTGTGTTATCGTTCTGATTTTCACAGCTCTGAGTGATCTGCATCAACAGCATTCTCTGTGAAATTTGGTCGCATTCATCCAAGGCATCGATGATACAGTAAAGTTGGTGATATGTATTATCGTGACCGATCTCAATGAATATGGCCCACAATGCATCAAATGAATTGAACAGCTTTCCCCCACGCTCCTTGAACTTGGGAAGTAAGTGTTTCATTAAACGTGGGCGTTGCTTAAGCAACTGGGATAGGAGACCTCGTAGTATAGCAGTTGCGGTACAGCGTTCTGGGTAATTGGAGTCGCAGAAGAAGTATGCAAGAGCCATTTCTTGGCTAATCGTATCATATTCTTCCGAGAGTTTCTCCACCAGCGTGATCGCCATGGTTGATTTTCCAGTACCGGGGTAACCATAAAACCACATCAATCTTTCGGAAGAGGCACTAGGTGGTGCGAGCCATGCCCGAAGTTCATCCGTGTGCATGATCCAGTCGCATGTGCCAGGAGCGCGTTTTCCTTTTTTACGCTTCAGGGCGTTCTTATTTTCCTCGGGTTCGGTTATAAAAAGACTTCGCAGGCACGCCTCTTCTTCGGGAGTGAATTCTTTTCCTGTCGGGCTTGTCAATGTATGCATTACTTGAGAAGAAAATGGCATACGCTGTGTTCGGAGAACAACCGACAGCAGCTGTTTTGCATAAGCCGCCGCAGTCAGGGCCGCATAGCCCTGCCATTCTTTCTGTTTGTGAGAATCGGAGTAGTCAGAAATTCCGCGGATCACCACAAATGGAAGTAAATCCATCAAGCCTGCCGCCTCCATCTCGAAGCAGAGAATGTTTCGTGCTTTAGCGACTTGGTCACGTGTCTGTGCATCTTTCATAACTTGATTTGCGGAAGCGATTAGGCCGTAATGAAAACCGGGTTCGTCTGTCACTTGCGGTGCACGAGTGACAATTTGTGTCCGGTCGCAGGTTGAGCAGTCGTAGGCTCCGTCTTGATGTTGATATGTAGCACTGAAAAGAAAGTCATCAGTGGGCCGGGAAAATTCGTTTCTCGTCCCTTTATTTTTCTCCAGCGCACTGTATATAATCTGCATGATGGAACGCTTCCCAAGGATGTGGTCTTTTCTCAAGTGGCTCGCTGCCTTCAACAGTTTTTCGGATGGTTTGTTGAGATTTCCTGTAGGCTGAAGCCCGGCGTGAGTTTTCTTCCCAAAATCATATTGTATCACACCACTTCCGCGCTCAGTTGGCATGCTAATCACCACATCGCCAAGCCGAATATCAACATTCGTAGGTACTCCACCTCCAATTCCGACTAGTAGGCCATATTTTAGGAACGGAAACGTAGCTTGCATTTGTACCAGCACCGAGGCTGCCGCTGTGATCCCGAAGGTACCCAACGGCAAGTTAGCAATCACTACATTATGGTCGTTCACGCGACCCAAAATGTAACTGTTGTGATCACTGGGTGCTGTAGGAACGCCGTTGTATTCTTCATCTAACATGTTCTGTGCTGCGGCTAACTCGATCGGCAGTGCACAGATCCATGCTACGGTGTAGTCCTCCGGCGAAAGGGCTAAACGGGCCATGATAGTCAAGCACGTTGCGTTGTCATATAAGAATGAAAGTTCCAAGATATTCTGTCAGTGTATCTTTGACATTCTTGTTTGCTTTTGGGAGGAGCGGGGGTATTTAGGTCATCACACTGGACACTAGTACATCGAGCGGGGTTGCTTAAAGGTGCAGAAAGGCTGTGCGCAAGGCTGATTTTGAGAGCCGGGATAAAAACATAAGTCAGTCATCTGGTGGGTTGCTGTTATTGATTTGGAAAGTATACACATCAAAGTTGCGGTCACCGTTGGGGATACGCAGTTGGTATTAGATCAGCAGCACGATGTTGAGCATGAGAAACAGACATACCACAGATTCAGAATCGCGAAGACAATCCATAGCTAGCGAAGAATATGGACGTCTCTTAAAACCTCATTGTTCCTCTGATGATGCTCATCATGTTTGCCGCTACCCGTGGTCGTAGCTCAGGTTTGAGGTCGAATGAATGTAAGGAGCTAAGGTGAAACAAACACCGCGTATCCTGGCTGAATCGGGAAATGGGTGTTGTCGAGGCGTTGGATTGGTAGTCCATAATGAGGCGGCAAGCGCTGAAAATTGCAGTAGTTCCGGATTTGATTGGTCGACATGCATGGTTCATGACAAGGTGACATTTTTGTTTAGATCTGCGGGTTGGTCAATATTTGCATGAGAGGATTCGGCGTCATCATTTCAGTACTCTATCAGCGATATTCCAAGATTGACTTGTACTATATCTTCAACAGAGTTCCCGGATTAATTGTTGTTTTCATCGTTTCCGAGTTTCCCTTCTGAGCATTCAGCGTGACTGGGTCTGGAAATAATGAGAGTGTAATAACTCAAGATGCGACAGATACCATGACTCTTAGGCAAGACTAGACCAGACAAAACATTCGCGAGTCAGCCGAAGCTCAAGAAGTGAGTTTGAAAGATAGCATCGAGTGAAACGGATTAAGGCTTATCGTCCTTCTCTGCCAGGTTACAAGCTCTCATTGCCTTACTGATAAAACACATGATAGTGTTTACTGGAGTGGAGTATGCATCATCATAGGTACGCTACTCGTATGTCGCTGTTTTTTGCAGTTGTGTTCGTCTTGTCTCGTTATTAGGTCTTGGTGCGAATGTAGAGAAGTCAAATGTCCCAGCTCTTTCGTATCTGTGGGGTAAGACTTTTGTTGTATTGAGCTGATGTATCTTCTTTCCGAATTACCCCCAGTGTGCCTGATAAGGTAAATGCCAGTTGAAGCTTCTGCAGTTCAACGGAAGGTTACACAGCATGCCTTCAAGACTAGGCTTTTCTCAGGACTCGCCGTGATTATGCCTTGAACGTCAAGTTGAGAGCATCGACAAACTCGTTATGGACATAGTCGTAGTGTTGCGTCATTTTCCTTTGATATTAGCGAGTATGAGGTGGCTATCGCCGTTGGATGATCATAAGTATTACAGCAGGCACTGCTAACCCAGAGCTCATTTGGAACCATTAGTGGATGAGTGTAGTCAAATCGGCAAGCACTGAAGAATCATCATTTCCGAGTCAAAATATAGTACGTAACGAGTGTCCGGTAGAGATGATATTGCATAGTGTCCACTTACCCGACTCAGGATTCGTAGGCACAGCCAACAGAGCAGAACAGCTAAATCATCACGACGACTGATGTTTTTGTCATAACATAAAATTAAGGCAATGTGGCTGTAATGAATTTCTGTCAAAAATGCACCAACGGATAGATTCCTTACCTGAAAAGGGTCTCAAGTGCATTGATGAACCGTATGTAGTACTTTATTTCTATCGTCAGTACCTGTTTGACAATTGACCTCAGACGCTGTTCAATGGAAGGACTTCCTGGAATGCAGAAGACTGTCGATAGCACTGCTGGCTGTAGCGACATGACCGACATGGGAAATCTCACTCGCTCTCGCTTTTTCATTGTCACATTTCCCAGTCGATTACTGTGGCTTCTACCATCTTGCAATTGATAGTTGTCAAAGAGTAATGGTGGTGCGGTACTTGTCAGGCATATTGTCAATAGCATATCTGTCGTTAACTCTTGTTCGGACATGGCACCATTCGCAATGACGTCTGCCAATCACTATCGTTGTAATGGAGGAACGGGCAGGACCGAGAGTAAGTCTCAAGGAACATCTTCCGGACCGGAAAAGAAATAAGAAAGGAGGGCAGTATGTCTGTGAAAAGCACTTCCGAGCATACCGATTGCGATTTGTAACGTGATCTGAAATAGAGTACTGACGAGCAGAAGCGAACGGAGAGAACCCTGACGTCAATAATTCGACAAACACGGTGTCGACCAGTGTTTCGACAAAGCCACCCCGTTGGAGAAGCCCGTGGCGCGGTCATGGTTGAAAATGGACTGGGACTGCTCATCATTTGTACCCAACAGTTTCGGAAAGAGGAACAAAAAACCCTTCGCGCGGTACAACGGGAGAATGTCAACAATTCTGAAAGAGGGCCTTGCACTATTGAGCCGGAATTTCCGTTTGGGTGACGGCGGCTAAAGCCAGTCTCAGAACTAGTGGCATTTGTGGCCTCTGCTGCATGCTGTAAACATGGCATCAGCCACAGATGGGTTCTTTAGATTACACCTGGGCTCACAATTACTATCCAAGGGGTTAGTGACTCTTGATTTGGGATGCTGGTTGGGGAGTGGTCCTAAACAGTCCACATGGGAGTTGCCCTGTTGAGAAACACAAAATCAGTACGGAGACTATGGAGGCATCCGGAACCCACCTCTATGTATCTCGATCGTTGTGCATTTAATCATCACCGAAAAGCGTAAGCAAGCGGACAGCAAAATCTTTGATGGGGGTTGTGTCATCCTGTGCCCTCAACAAGTACGGTCCCTATGATTGGTTTATGTAAATTCGCATCGAAAAAAGATAATCGAATAGTCCCGTAAGCAACGTCAAGGAGAAAGGAACAGGATCCCACTGTCCACGACAGCATAGGAATCAATGACCAAGAAGCAGAAGCAACATCTGTTTTTGATCAAAGTCCGGAAAGTAAGGACCAATAAAAGTCATTGCATAGCATAGAATCAATCTTGGCGATAATCACTGAGGCAATAAGCACGATGTCTCACCCTATGATGCGTAGAAGACTGGTCTTTGGCGAAATGAAGATGAAAGGAGGTGGCACTGTCAGGAGAGAAGCCAGGTATATATAACCGACACTGCCCTCATGTTTGGGATCTAACCAGGCACCCAAATCCAAACAGGTTGTCTCGTCATTCAGTCTGTTGCAGATCGCCGCCGTCTGGCTGGAAACTCACTGTCGACTTCTGGTTGACTTGATACCCCCTCCTTGCTTTGTTGTGTTGAAGTCCACGCTAACCATATTGGGCCATCATGGATGGACACTTCCCGTTCACTTCTCGAACCTTCCGTGTCTGCTCCCTTCTCTACCGATCTCTATGAGAAGGTGCCTGGCTCAACTCTCAAAGCTCTACATAGTACGGTCTGGAACCCAAAAAATAATCCATCATATACGGGCAAACTCAGACATGACGTCATTCAGTTTCATTCCGCACTTTCTCCTGAACTGTTGCCTAGCCATGCTGAGCACATGCTGAGCATACCAGGTCAAGTTAAGTCCCCCGGTCTGGGGTTCATTCTGAATCGATCTCGCGCTTTGGTTCTACCTTATTGCAATTGGCTGTGTGGGTCCGACGCACCATAGTACCGTACATGTACGTGTAGCTGTCTTCTCAGAAGACGGGAATCCAGTGCTTTCTTAGAGATCATGGCTCTGAATGCCTTCACAGAACCGAATTATCGACAATCTTGCCGTGTCCTGTCAATCTAGGTTGCTAGGGAGTTTGGTGGAGAAATCGATTCCATCTACGACCACCTCGTTGGAGTCAGTAACGCTTCCACCTTCTTAATCACTGTTTGCTCACATTTTCACCATGTTTGCATAGGGATTCACTTTTCTGAGGTGCTGAAAATGGCCGCCTTTAAAAACCTTTGCTGCCCGCGAGGGGCAGTCGCCTGCTCTCTTCCCCCTTCATCACGACAAAGTCAACTCATTTTTCCTCCCCCACTATTATCACTTTCGTCACACGATTTTCTGGCCATTATACTTGACCCGTTTCGAGGTTTCTGTGAAGATAGCCTTTGGGAGTCCACACCTATCCACGCTTAGCATATGCTCACGGGTGACGACCCGTTGGCTTATCCTCGCTTAGACGACAAATTTGTTGGTGACAATGGGTGCGACGGGAATTCTTTTGGAGCCACCGGTAGATATGGACTTCGTTTCAATTTTCCCTATCGTTCTTTCTCGTCTTATTGTAAGATAGCAGGAACCACGGTCTGACCACGCTCTCTACGACTATGCGAGAAGTCTCCAGGTAAGAGCATCACACACGATGATTTTTCCAGTGCTAATAACGTGCCAGGGTGATGAACTTCGACCTTTCGCCTTGATTCTGAACGCGCTGTCCATCCTTGAATCTCCACTACAGGAGGAGAAGTTTGCTATTCTCAACCTGTATCTCCCACCAAATATATCCACCCATCTCAATATCGGATCTAGCCCATCGAACCTCCCTGGGAAAGGTATTTTTTAAAACAAAGACGGTGTGACGTTACTGTTGCTAAATCGGACAAATCCTACAGAAGCTGAAAGCGAGCAGAGACCATATTCAAGTGACACAGTCTCCTCTCTAAACACGGATACAATCGGTATGCAATGGCTTCAACCTACAACGATGGCCGGTGATGTATTGCAAATGGACGGTAGCTACCCTATGGCAGGCTCCACATCTACGCCAATATCCGTAGAGTGTGATCCTTATCAGTCCTACGGAGACAACATACCAATAACAGTATCCACCGCTCTCAATAACATCATGGTCTCCGATTCCACCACCCACCCTGCAACATTACCGTTGATGGACCTCTCAGCGTGGACTCAGGACGACCCGATTTGCGACCAGTTCATGCCTGACCAGCAGATGGAAGATCACGCCACGTGTGACCAAGTTTCCGACGTTGCCACTGCGACTGCGGCGTACCCAACCCCTAGCGATTCGTATACTCCCGGCCCTGCCAACTATACAATGGAAATTAGTACTGGTGGGTCACTGGAGGAACTTTCCCCACGAGCGATGGCAGATCTCCCGGAATCAACGCCCATCAGCTTTCTAGAAGCAGATCCATCAAGCATCTCGCACAACGAGGATCCAATGGTAGTGAGTGATCTTGGTGCGTTGAATGAAACTCAGGACACACGCTTGGATCTTCTTCAGTCTCTGGTGAGCCACGCTGGATTATCCAAGAACGTTCAGACCTTGCGGGAGATCTATCAATTAGGGGATAGCATCATTCATCACACCGCTGCTGTCTTGGATGATTGGAATGGCTGGTTGCTCCAAAATTTCCCATCTGACGGACTTTTGCTTCCACCCTGCCACAGCCTTTCGCTAAAGGCAATCTGTGCCTCTATGTCTCAATTTTTGATGAAGACTAATAATGACATGCAACGGAAATCCATCCATCGCCGACTCGCACGAATACTTCTTCACGTTTGCCATGATGAATACGATAAAGAGCTAGACAATGCATCCTTCAATCCTCAGAGTCGGAAATCCGTCACCGTCGCCCATGACTCCATCGTCGCCCAGCTTCGTGGCTTTCAGGTCAATGGCAAGGAGTGCACCCGGAAGTACCTCAGTGACAATCGAAATCTCGGCAAACGATGGTGGAGACTTGGAAGTGGGATCGGAATCATCCATGTCTTGGCCTGTGCGCCGCGCATGGCCAAATCTTTGTAAGTCACCGCTCGACCGTGTCACCGCTCGACCGTGTCACCACTCGAGCTTACATTGTGCCAGTGATAACCGTGGCTGTAAGAACCGTGGCTTCGATGATGCTTCCCTGGAACTCTTGGTCAACTACCTGAGAAACGCATATCCAGACGCCATCGCGTATTTCCAGTCGCTCGATGTCGCCCTTCAAGCCCTTGTTGCCAATTCCTCATTGGCCACAGATGATTCTGTTGCAATCAATGAGCCTCCAGACCACTCACACTTGCATTTCAATGGCCCTCCTGAGAGCATCCAGTGGGTGAAGACCGACGATGTAATGCTAGCTGCGACACCGTCCTTTTTGCGCTGCTTGAGGCAGGCTTAGATCGTGGCTGCAGGCAGCCTACTGTGTCGTCATTTTTGCAATCTTGCCTATCGTTATATTTTACTCCATTGATTATACCCTCCAGAACGTACCTCCATCTTTTTTTCCTGCTCTCTCAATATGTTGCACCGCAGCCTTGGCTGTGCCTGAGCTAGTCCTGTACATGAGTCTTGCGCTAAATCGATCCGAATAATACTGTGTGACAAGTAGTACTCGGGTGGTGTTGTGGGCCGTGGATCATTGCGAGCGGCTTTGGATGTGGAAGGAAGCCGAATGTTAATGTCAATAAGATTCCTCAAGATATCACCACTCGGAACATCAGGCGATGCCCTACTATTCAGTGGGCTACATGACGGGCTCATGATTGGGTCAAGTTTCATGCGAAGGAGATGGAATGAAAAGGTAAAATGTTGAGCTAGAACTTGAGCCTTTGATCTCATAAGATGAAAGTGATGGCCCAACTTGGGAACCCGGTGTAGAATGAGAGATCAAGTCTAGAACGCAACATTCGGATTGATCACAATAAGATAATTTATATTGGCAGCGTGTTCTAATCTTATATATCGACGGCTGCAGGGCACAACCCAGTTAAACAATAGTGGGGTTTGTGGGGCTTCACGGGAGGATGACTAAACTCCGTGTATCCACTGGGGTGGGTAATACTACCATGACGTATCCCGAAGAGAGGACTGTGCTTCGGAGGAAAAAGTGGATAGTGCATTGCAATCTGAGTGTAGAGGAGTAGCTTGCATCGTTGTGATCTGCTGATTGCACGCATCCTTACGGAATGGGCCGAAATACGAACCCCTACATAGTATACCAACCACCAGACCTGGTCGAACACGACAAGCCACTACCACATAAGACCAAAACGCACCATTAAGCAATCGAACTACTATATCCAGGTACATACATGAAAAAGAAGAAGTAGAAGGAAAATCGCGAGACTCCGGTAGAAGAAAAGAGAGAAAGACAATTAAGAGGAAACGCCAAGCGAACAACAGGCGCCAGCATCCGACGAGACAACAGACAATGGGGACCGACAGATGAGCAAATTGCTTGTTGAGCTCATAAAACTCAAGTATGACATCAGAGAGAGGGATAAAGGGGATTCACGGCTCTCTATCTAGGGATATACTAAGCTTCATGTTTCGCCTTTATCGCGACAGTAGCCGGCATTGGGTTTTATCGGGCTGTTGTGCTTCATGCCGAGAAACAGTTCTAAATCGGGATTAGCGTATTAGTCAAATTCTCTGACACATATGACAATTTTAAAAAAAAAAAGTAAAATCAACGTGTCATCATCTTGCATCCGGTTGGATCACTATCGACATTTTCTGAAAATAGTCTCCATATTAGGGGATTGACGACATACCCGCCTGAAAAATTCCAGCCACCGATAGCGCTATCGGTGTGTCAAGAATCTAGAAAGTTCACGTTGCGGCACTATCACCATCTTCACCACCAGGGCTTCCCATCTCATAATTTTTACATCCACCCCAAGCGCGATATTCTCTGGCTTAGTGAAAATCGGGTCCACGATCATCTGCCGACGCTACGACATTCCTACGGCGACTTAATAACAACGTGTACCAACATCCTTGTTGACCGTTTTAGTTGGGATGACGAAAAGCTGCGAGATGATACACTGCGGTCATTGAAGCTGCTGAGTGCTATAGAATGTATTTTGATCCTAGATGATACTGTTCGCTTGGTTGAAGAGGATGATGGCACTTATCTGGTCCCGGATAGGGACAAGATAATCGCGCGAGCGAACCGCTATCGAACCGAATATGAACACTTTGTCAAGTCTTTGGAAAAGCAGAACGAGGTGGAAGGAAAGGATATACGATGTGGTAATCCCCGTCGCGTTCTGTGCGTCGACTGTGACGGTGATTTGTATTGACTTGTCCATTACCTTGACCCTATTCTTAAAAAAGGTTATGAATTACATAACTACCACGTATTCAAGCTGCTCTTTGCGTAGGAGACAGACGCAATAGAATTCTCGGCACATGATTAGCTACTCTTTGTCACGTAATAAGTCGACGTTAATTCAGATTGGTTCTTAAAATACTTGCCATGTCGACTGAGAATGCCCACGACACCGCCGCTTTGTTCCAATGTTCATCGACATAAATATTGACTCGATCGGCAGAATTGTTTTCGGGGTTTCTCTGATCGTAGGGTGGGTCCCGTCTATTTGAATAGTTAGCTACCACTCTCTACAGGCGGATGACTGCCAAGCTCGAAGACTTACGACTTGAGATTGACAGTAAGATCAAATCAATGGAGCTCAATAAAAACTTTCTAGAGAATACACTGAGCCAACAACTCCAGAAGATACAACAACAACGAGACGATCTTGATTTGCAGGAAAAAGAATTGAGGGAGAGGATCGTCCGTGATGACTGCGAGAACAAGAAATTCATTGGAGATTTGCTGGAAGACTGTGTCAACAAACTCTTTGACGTTGAACCTATGACTGCAGGTGATGGGGACCAAATGTCGGATGCCGAGGAGTATCATCTTGCAGCAGCCTAGGTATAGAAGCATCACGTGAATCACTCTTTAGACTGATCTACGTTTCCCGTATTTGGCATATGCTCCGAACAAGGACGCCCATCCTACAGTATGGTTTGCTGTCCCACTGCGTCGGGATGTATAGTATTGAATTTTTCATAAGCCGATGCCTTTAGTGCCTGACAGCAACAATTCAGCGTTATCATTTTGGTACTTAAGATCAACGATTTCCTCTGGCATCTTCAATAGAATCTTTAGATTCGCTGGCAATTTCATCGTTTCCTGTTTCTTCTCCTTCTGTAGATCCAATGTGTGACTGGGTCTGGATATAATAAGAGCGTAATAGCCCAAGGTGCGACAGATACCATGAGTCTTGGCCAAGTCGCAAAAACGGGTGCTATCTAGCTGTTAGGCCATATAGAGCATGACTTCTGGGAAGGTTTGTACCTTGAGAAGTTCCCTGGGGGATATTCTAAGTGGCATTTTCATGAATTGATCAGCCGCTAGCCCTGACATGTGGACAAGCTTCACGTTGCTAGGGAAATCCAGAAGGGTAGCTGCAATACTATAAACAGCCTCAATGTCACGAGCAAAATTATCCCTCCCACCCAGTAACATGCTTCTGCCAATATCTCCTGTCGAGGCATTAGTAGGGTGATTGTGAATTTCGATTGTAGTGACTTACCAATTTGAACTTCACCGTCTTCATTGACACACACTGTGTCACAATTTACGTTTCCGTGAGAAATATTGAGGAAGTCATAGATATATATCAAGCCGTGTAAAATCTATATCTTGGTCAGTCGTCTCACAGACGAAGTGCTTATGTGCTTCTGACCTTTTTGCAGATAGTGGCCACTGCCACCGCATCTCCCTTGATGAATGCGTGCAAATTTGTCAAGGAGGCCCCTGTTCTCTCATAACTGAAAAAAACCCCGTTCCGAGTCCTTGACATGCCCGTGAGGTTCACCAAATTTGGGTGACTAGTTCGCTGTACGAGGTCATTTGCCCGGAACGAGTCACAAACGTTCATTTGTTTGACCAACGTTGGCTGAGAAGAGATATCGCCTATCCTCATTCCAGAGTATCCATCTCCGTACATGTCTGGGAACTCGACGAAGATGGTATCCGTTCGAGAGAATGGCAACCTTTCCCAAGAGAAGGAGAGACGTTCGCCAGTCAACCGTTTTTCCGTGATTTCCTTGCATTCGCCATCCTGAAGGGAAATCGATGAATCATTGGCCGTACTCATTTCAAGTTGAGATTAGTTTAGCCGGCAGAGGGTATGGCTGATTGAGCATTATCGAGGGGAGATGCACGATTTATATATTTCAAGAGCAGCGGCCATCCTTGAAGATCACTTCACAAGGACCTGACTCATACAATATGATTGTCTTTTCTCTTGTCACCTTTTTTGCAAACCCTATGAGTGGGTAGATTGTTTGATAGCAGGATTAAATCTGACCGAAACAATGTCATGAGGCGGTCTGGACAGCCAACCGTGGTCGCAAGATCATGACTAAGCTGAGCATTTGGGGCCATTCCTACGGCACTCAAGCAATTACCCCATTACGGAGTAAGTTATGTTAACTAACTGAAGTTGTTTGGAAACAAGCGATGAGTCAGCTATATGTTCAAAAGTAACTACCGATTTGATTGGCAGAGACTGTACCCAGAGCCCCTCTCTGTTGTGAGGTGGGTCGTCTCTAATTAAATACTGTAATTGCATCAATTTAAAACTGGCGGATGACTCGGCTGCCTGTTCAACCTCCGCCGCAAATAGTGCACAAGATTGGCCAGGAACAAGTTGGCTGTATCCAATAGCAGAACTTCAGCTACACTTGGAATGAACCAAGAAACACACTCCAATGCCGAAACACTCAGCTTGTTTAGGAGATAATTTGTGGTCAATGCTGACGACCGTTGGTATCACAGTGAGGGAAGCTGCACTATGGTTTGACCGAGGAGTTTTCACTGATGTTTTTCAAGCGGTTGCAAATATGGTAAGGACGAATGACTAGCTCAGACAGAACGTGACACATCTGATAATCACATTGAATCAGACCCATCGCTATCGTTGCCACTAAACCAATCACTCCAAATTCTGTAGTCCACCGGCCACTCAAGAGTCTCAACTAAGTGTGAGATCCGGCTTGCGAAAGGAACGAGAGATTGATCATGATTGGACAGCTCTGTGGTAGTACCCTCTTCCAAATTCAAAAGCGCCAGTAATTTGCTGTACCCACAATCAAAGTCAGTTGTGATGGATACTTTCTCCAAGCAGGAAATGTTGGTTGGGAACAAAAAAGGCAGGAAAGTGATAGAATCTTTCGTCAAACTCAGAGACCTCAGATGTGGTAGCTGGATTCTGGAGTGATGTCCCTCCGGGTGAATGGCACAAGAGAACAGGTCGAGTTCTTCAATGTTCTGTCCCAGGTTTCGTAGGAAGCTCAATTCGATATTGGAGACCGTGAAATGAACCTTCTTTACTGTCGAAGACGACCCCAAAAGCGTTAGGCCCTCCCCTGCGTACTCTTCCAATTCGAAAAATGATAGCCGCGGCAGCTTCGTGAGGTCTATCAGAATAGAAGAGCCACCGGTGCTGCTCTTCTCGCAGTCAATTGACAAGTCACGAAGAGCGGGCAAGCTTGGGATCGTCCACGAGCAAGTCACCTCTATGATAAGGCGTTCCAACGATTGAAAGGAGCAAGAGGGCCAGAGGTAGGAGGATAAATCCAGCGTGGAACACGTGTTAGGCTCCGCGATCCTGTGATCACGGACCGCATCAATTCTTTAGAGAATCAGCATCAATACGAGCCATGTAAATCTCATAGTATTTATAGGAAAATGGGATGGGAGTCAACATACACGCAACACTTCACGTTAGGGATTCGTCCCAATAAGTCAAGGAAACTCGTGGGACTCGTGCATGAAGATGTGGATAGATACAGGTCTCGTATATGCGATAATTCCCTCAACAATACATCAATCACTGTCCTCACGGGCAGTCTCCTGAAGTTCAAGGATATGGGCACGTTCTTCTGGAACTTGACGAATGTCTCCCGGAAAAGTAGTCGAACTGCGTGAACTCGCAGAGATTGGGAAGTGTGATAGAGTGCCCATAAGTCGGATTTCGATATCTCCTAAACCATCAGTATGGAGTACGTCTGTGTGAAGAGAGGCCTCATACGCTTTCAAATACTAGCTGCAACACTTCAGCTGGAAGGTCCAATAACTTTCGTTGTGTGGTCCCCATTGTTCATGCCTAATGATGTGGTCGGCCGAAACAATCCAGGTATCTCATGAAGCATGTATCTGTAACGCCGAATGAAACATCTTTAGACAGTGCGACGATCGCAGATAAACGTGCAGATTCAGGCACAGAATTTTTTAATAGGCCTAGGGTAGGGGGGCTGTGGGGCTGTCGGGCTGTCGGCCTCCACAGACAGGTGAGTAAGCTCCATGGACTCGCAGGAGAAACTACTCTCTCGCCACTGGGCATTGTCATAGATCTCCCACGCAGCGAATCAAGTTAAGGCCGCATAAAGCCCACCGGGCTCGGCATGAGATAAAACCAGCATGAACAGAAGGAAGCAGCTGTGGGATATTCACGAGGATAAACAGATCCTGCAGCCAGAGTCCCAAACTCTCTTCTGGTTCCTACAGGCGGATGACTAAGCTTCATGTTTCCAGGGACAGGCGAATGACAGCGATCTCCTTTGATAGAGCGACCAAGTACATACTTCTTCACACTATCTCATTAGTCGTTTGGAACAAGCGGATGACTCAGCTCTATGTTCGAGGTTTAGTTAACTAACTTACTTAGTTAACTGGTTGTAGGAGGATGACTAAGCTTTATGTTTCTCGAACAGGTAAACGAACTCAGCGATCTGTGATAGTGACGGTCGAATTATTAACCAGCTCCCGGAGAGCTGACGAATCTCAAATTAGGTTGACTGGGTTTTTTTGACCTGGGTTCAATCAGAAACTGTATCCGGAGTCTCTCCGATCGTAGGGTAGGTCTTGTCTAATTGAATAGCTAACTCAGTTAACTAGTTAACTACAAGCGGATGACTAAGCTTTATGTTTCTCGAACAGGTAAATGACTCAGCAATCTGATTGTGATAGGACGGCGAGGCCCTTGCTATAGAACTTTGCGTCCTAGGAAGCCGTTCATAGGATCAGATGAATCATAGACGCCTATGACACCTGGTAAACGCATCCCAAGGTGGTATGCATTCTAGATAGTCCATCTCTTGACCGCGAGCGGCTTAGGTAAGAATTTCTATAATTGAGTATTTCCTACAAAAGTTCGGTGACCATATGGCTGGGCTGGCTATACGTCGTGGTGGGACACTGGTCGAGAGCCTCATGCCCCAATCCGCCGTAAAGACAAGTCTACAAGTCTATGAGGGCCAAATGGATGTAGACATAGAGCAGTGGACCGTAGGCGGAGGCGTGAAGGCCATGGACGACGGGACATGGACACATGAACCCGTCCTGATCGCCCACTGGGCCATATGGCCCGGGCCATAGAGCCCAGCCAGCCCACTGGCGACCGCCGTGGCTCCTCCGTGGCCATGGAGTCGAATGAGCCGTTGAGATGCGGTCTCGCGGCCGAGGCTTCCATACGGCCTCGCATGATGGTGTCACATTGCCGCCGAAGCAGCGAACACTAACGACGTCTGAAGCCTATGAACGCTGCCGCTGCCTGTTCCATGGCTTTGTTGACAGTCCGGTCTTCAGGAAAGATCAGAAACACGGACTGGCTGCCATCCTGTCGAGCCGACTCAAGACATTGTGAAGGCATCAGCATACGCAGTCGCGCATCTCGGAGCTGTGCATGATATGCTTCTACAAAGCGTTTTGCTTCGCGCTCGCAGCGAAGGGGATCAGACGGATCGGCAACGACTCTCTTCCGCTCCGTCCACCGAGTCCCAGTCCAGACCCGGAAGATGACCAGATCATCGGACGGCTCGTGAGGACTGGCAACAATGGGTGGCCGCTGTTCTCGAATCTTATTGGCGGCTTTCCTCCTGCGTTCGACACTACCATTAGGAGGCGGGGGAACTGGAAGCGCGTTGGACGGGTTCTCGATCGGCGCCGGCTCAGTCAGAGGAATGGCCGGCAGTGGCGGATCTCCCGGGGCAATGGTAGGTTGATCTGAAGTCGTCAGCTGCATATCGATCTGCGTGAGAGGTCGATCTCGGTCTCCTTGGCCTTTTTCTTGGCCTTTTTCGATTGGACGCCGATACGGACCCTGGCGAGCAGGCCGAGCAAATTGTTTTCGCCCAGCCTTCAGAGGTTGGCTTGGTGGGCTTGGTGGGCTTGTTGATCGAAGTCTCTGGTTTGCTCCACCTCCACCAGTAGCAGCAGGAGGAGCATGATTGCCTTCAAGTGGAGTGATCTCACCGTTGTTGTTGTCATTGAAGAGATCGTCCCCGCTCTGAGTCTGAGTGAAGTCATTTTCGAATTCCTGGGCTGCTCGCGGAGTATTTTCTGCCCGCTGCTTGGCTTCCCGTCCACGTCGAGCTTCCTCGGCGATTCTCTTGTCTCTCGGAACTTTTCGACGGGATTCTCTGTCGTCAGTCAGTACTTCTGGTCTTGCGGCTTGCAGGTCTTCATGAGGAGGTTCGGGTGGAGGATTCCCAATTTCAACTCCCTGGTTCCCTTCCACCGGGCTTTCAGACTCACGCAACCGAGCAATCAATTCTGGCACCGAAGGCAGAGGAGGATTGGCAGGATCGGCAACGGCCGAGTCAGAGACGGCTGGAGGCTCTGCTGATTGGGCGACTGTTTGTGCCCTCTCTTCCGCCACCACCGCTTCAGGTGGGCTCTGCCCTGTGAGATCCTCGGTTGGAGGCAGTTTCTCAGCTCCAAGGTTTGCACCGGGAGTGAACTGATGCCCTTGTTTCATATCTACTTGCGTGAGACGATGGGCTTTTCCGCCGCGATGTCTTTGTGCAGCCTGTCGTCTGGCTTTCGCCGATCGATTGAGCCCTAAGAGTCGGGAAGGTCGAGCAGCCCTGTGCTGTCTTGATGAGCGGAGTGTGGAGGGAAGCCCTGAGAGTCGGGAACGTCGAGCAGCCCTATGCTGTCTTGATGAGCGGAGTGTGGAGGGAGGTTCTGCAAGGCGGTCATCTTCTTGTCGAATTAGAGCCTCACCGTCAGCCACTTCTCGCGGTGATGTATTTGCTTCTGTGGGGGTGTTCGACCTGGCATTGTCCGTGGGATGTTCCGGAATATGCCCAGGAGACGGCTCGTGGATGATTATCTCTGGAGTCACATTATGGTCCTCTATTTCTGTCTCGTGCGGGTCTTCCCCAATGTTGGTGGGCTCATGACTCTCCTCCACTGGACTTTCGGGCTCGCGCACTCTACCGAGGAACTCTGGCACAGAAGGTGGGGGGGACGTTTGGGGAAGATCAGCATGATCTGCAACGACCGATTCTGAGATGACTGGACCCTCTTCTAACTGCGCAAGCGTTTGAGCCCTCTCTTCCGCTATAACTTCTTCGAGTGGACTCTGGATTGGAAGGTCCGCATGGGAGGTGAGCTTATGCCCCTGTTTTATATTTACTTGCGTCAGACGACGGTTCTTTCCGCCGAGGCGGGTCTGTGCTGCAGCCTGTCGTCTGGATATGACCGTCCGCTTGGGTCCTAAGGGTCGGGATCGTCGTCGCACAGCCCTATGCTGGTTTAAAGCACTGAGAACGGATCGACGATCTTCTATAAAATGACCTGACGGCAGTTCGCCAAGGTGGTCAGGCTCCTGTCGAGTTAGGGACTCATTTTCGTCTATCTCTCCTGGTGTATTCGCTTCTATGAAGTCGTGTGGCCCGGAATTGTCCTCGGTATCATCGATAACGAGCTCTGGCACCATTATATCATCAAGAGTATCTGCCGCTTGAGAATCTTTCTCAAGCGCGGCTTCGATTTCAATCGGTTCCGCTACCGATGAGTCAACTGGCGTCTGGTTAGCGGTGAGTGCGTTACCTCTCAGTTCCTCGATTACTGTGTCTTCCGGCTGTGTAGATTCATGCTCATTCCCAGCGTCGATTTCCACTTCCGTGATATTTCCGGAAGACCCGCGACTTGATTCCCCATGGTTTTGGTCTACAGAATGGGGTCTGGCGGCCGGTCCGCCTTCATGTCCACCACTGGACATTCGTTGACGGCGAGACTCTCTCTGCCGTCGCCGAGTCTCCCGCTCTTGCCGCCGCCGCTGTCTCCGTTCCCGCCGCTCCTCGCGTCTACTATTCCGACGCTGAGTGTCAGTTCTGTCGATCACATGATCCGAGGTCCCCGTTATCTGGTGGTCGTCTGACGGATTGATTTCTTCAGGGACGAACAGCGGCGACGGAGGGGGATGAGGGGAGCTATGGGGCGTTGAATGGTCTTCGTCAATTGGGGTTGGTGGAGTCTCAGACGGTCGACCAAAGAAAGCGAAATATACACATCTTCTCACATAGAGTGCGGAAACGGACTCATCCGATGGTTGGCTCTCCATCTGATCGAGGAAGAGAAAGTTTTGCTCTTGTTCGTGAGTCTCGATGCTGGGTTTCCCGCATCGACTCTGTCTGGGGATGGTGGAAAAAGGAGCTGAGGCGCGACGGTCTCGAATCTCGACAGGAACGGCCTCGTTAAAACATGCTACAATCTGATTGACAAGCGTATCGATAGAATCGTAACGATACTGATCACGGTCACGTGCCTTCAGAAGCGCTTCCAGCGCAAGCCGGCGATCTGGCGAGTCGTCTATGAGACGTCGGATCTGCGGTGAGTCGAATCCTAGCTGAAGGGCTAGGGATGCCATTCGGTGCACGACTCCATCGTTGGCTTCTCGGAACTTGGTTTTGGCATGTCGCTTCTTTTTCTGACGCGCTTTCGGCATCTGGAGGTAGTGTCGAAAGGCAAAGAGCCAGAGTTGTCGATATCCACTCTCTCTGCCTTCTTCCACCGTCCCGGAACATGATCGGAATTCCGTCTCGGACACTTGCATTTGATAGCGACCGCGACCATGTCTCGCGGGGTTGTAGATCTGCTTCATGGCGGACCGCATGGTGCGCTTGCGCATGGCCGCGAGGTCGACTAATCGTCCAAGGCAGCTCGATGTGACCTCGAGGTAAGAAATGTCCTTGAAAAAAGTGTGAAGCGATGGGACAATCTCACCGCGACGGCGCAAAACCCTCCAGATAGACTTGCGTTCTGCCTGGTTGAATTTTGGGAATGCTTCACCACTGAGCACGAGGCCTTTAAGTTTGGTCCGGTCTAACCCTCCTGGAACCAGAAGCTGGAGCTTCTCCACAGTCATACAATCAATCTTCTCCATCCGAGATCGGTCATGTTCAACTAGTGATGACCAGAAGTCCTTGATAAAACAGAGGTAGTGAATAATTTCCTGATTGCATCAGCAACAGTCTCATGGCGCCGAGGGAATACGAACCTCATCACACTTCACGGCAATGACCCGAGGAAGGTTGCCAATACTCATCCCATTCCAGAGACCCGGAATTGGCAGCAACGAGTCAAAAGCCGAGCGGATCGAACTATTTTCCCGCTGTGACAGTTGTCGCATCCGCTTTTGTTTATTTTCTGTTAGCCGAGACAGCCATCGCTCTTCGAAGCGAGCACTGGCTTCGTACTGATACTGACGGACTTTGCGATACACTTCGCCATCGGTCGGTGTCGCTTCATTAGCATATTCATCCGTTAATTCCGTCTCAAGCTCCCGACTGATGTCTCGTCGAGAGTCAGACCCCAGTAACTATGAATGAGGAATCTAGACCCACCGTCTAAATATAGATCGACTGTCCACCACCGGTCGTAGGGTGCCAAGAACTCCCTTCCCGCTCTCAAACGGTGCTGTCCGTGCAGGCACGTCACCTGTCCAATCGGAAACTCGAGGGCGACGTAGCTATCTGGCTGCTGACTCATCAAAGAGTTGGCGTTTACCTCGTTGCCACTCAGGGCACTCATGAGGTGTTCCCTCGAGATGGTCGCCACGACATGATTTGGCAATGATAATCGGTCGCAATCTTCACTGTCAAAGATACGCCGCAGCCTCTCCACATTGTCCGGTTTGTACTCGGAAGGTAGGGATATTTGGCTGATATTGATCTTTGCTGTGCCCTGAAATTTAAGACGTCGTTCTCTTGCCAACCGTAGCTCTGTACTGCTGAACATAGAACGATCCATGTCGGAGCAGGGGTGGTTGACGTATAGCACTCAATCAATATACGATCGACAAATTGTGAGAGACGATGGTTGGGCTGGCATGTTGGGGGTATTTATAATTTCGTTGACAACGACGGATGCGAAACAAGCAGATGAGTCATGACACTGTTTCCACCCCTCCCTGTTTTGAAGCCCTTTCGTCTCCTTTCCTGTTACGTCTTTCCTGTCCGGTTCAGCGTACGTAACGAAGAGCTGTCCATAGTTATTTGGTTTATGTCTATGATTTCGTTGACAGCGATGGATGCGAAACAAGCAGATGCGTCAGGACGCCATTTCTACGCCACCCTGTTTTGAAACCCACAGTTTTCGTTTCTTGTTTATTGTAAGGTTTCACATAAATCCCCCTTCTTCCCTGTCTGAGCCACCCTGCGTAATGAAGGTCTTTCCGTAGCAGTTGGTTTTGTGTCTATAATGTCGGACAACGTATCTCAAAGTCTTACTGTTGGTGCTTCTGACAGTGCCTCAGTAAAATCCTCGCATCAATCCCTTAACGGGCCTATGGAAACACGAGCGGACAGCGGAAAGACCGCAGGAAAAAACTCTTCTACTAAGCTAACTGGTGGTCCTAAGAGATTGGGACTGCCAATGACCGTGCTTCAAGCTAAAGCCGAACATGAGTTGCGTGGCTGGAAAGATTCGCCCTGGAAACACTACAACCATATATTCAACTGTGACCTCGCTGGTGACGTTTCTATAGCTACCGCTCGTACCCATCCGTCGGAGTTAAGGGCCATACGGACACTTAAGAAAGAAGATTCCGAAGATATATTGGAGAAGTTCCGTATAATTCGACATGAGAATATCCTACTCGTTCGAGAATACTTCACACATGAAGATTCTGTATATATGGTGTTTGACGATCTCCCGGTGACTCTGGACCACTTGGTGGCTTGTGATTATTACCCCCGTGACACTCAAGTCTTATCCGCGCTGGCACAGGTAATACCACGAGCCCTGATCGTGGATATAGACCACTAAACATATCTGAAGATTCTCAGCGGCCTATCCTTTCTCCACGCATGTGGATATGACCACCAGGCTCTCATTTGCTCCAACATCCTGCTGGGGATGGATGGCACAATCCAGATCGGTAAGAGCACCTCAATGTGCGGGAAGAAAGAGCTGACCAACTTCTCAGCGGCATTGGATTGCTGTGTGAAGGGACCTCCGAACCAGGCCAAGTCAATCGATGCCGTCGCATCAATAGCCACACTGCTCATGCAAAAATATACCAAGTCAAACGGCGCTAAGGGAATCGATAATGTAGATCGGTGGTCTATGGACTCCCTGGCTTTTCAATTTCTCCTAAAGACAGATACAGCTGAATCTGTCGATGAATTGAAAGATGTATGTTCAGATCAAACCAATGACAGACAACGGAGTATCTAACGGTTGTACAGTATATCCTCAAGACCGCAAAATTCTCAAAAGATTATTTGGCGGGATTGGCTCGATTCGCACTGATTTCTGCACGCACTTTCTACTCTATTAGTTCCCAGATGTGAATAGCTGATTTTAGGCTTCGCGAATACTCCGTGTGTCCTATTTTTCTATTGTATGAACGGTCGCAAATTCTACTGTATCTAAAGGATGTACCATACCTCTACTCGTCATATGTCATTCTATCTTTGATGAAAATAATATTTCCTCTATATGGTAGCTACGTGATCCGGTATACTTACTTTGTCTACTCCGTAGTAAGCACTCAGTTTCAAATACATAAGGTTGAACTGGGTGACGACGTCATCAACTTGTTTCCGATGTGAGTCTAGCCGCTGCGCTATCTTGCACGGTCGATCGTGTTTTTAAAACAGGAACATGTGGGTCTAGCCGTTGCGCTAGAACCTGCACGGTCGATCGTGCTTTGAAACAGGAACATAATGACGTCATGGAATTGTCTATCTCGACTGGTAAACTAATAAACACTTTAGGTTGAGAAACATTTCCCCATAATTACTGTGCGATAACTTCAGACGGCCGATAGTCCACTTCCTGCATAGTAACTTTCTTACCAAGGTATCGACAAACAACGGACTTCAAATGATCTCTCAATCGGTTTGAGACGGAAGCTTTATATCGATGTTAGTATTCCAATCAGTTATCGACTTTATGAAAGACGTACTCAGTATCAGAATCTCCCCAGTCCGTTCTGGAGTGCTAGGGATTCTCTCTATATAGTCATCTGCCACTTCGGTGGATATGATTTTGTTGTAGTCAGGCTTCCCATGGTATCGGAAAGCACGACCGTGTTCTCCGAAGGATTCTCCGTTATCGTGGGCTGATTCAGTATAGATCGATACTTCAAATATCTTCCAGTCGTCAGACGCGACCCCCAAAGGACCTGGTATGACTTACATAGCCGTTGGTAAGACTGTCGTCTTTGAGAAGATCATTAAGTAGAGGCTGCGCTTCAACAACCATATCTATATCGATTAGCTCGGGGCGTGTGTATAAATGGTCATTGCTTACCTAGGGTGTCAACTTCCCACACGAGATGCAGACGGCGGATTTGACCCGTCAATGTGTTGTAGCTATAGAGAAGCTGTTTGAGATAGGGAACCACGCCGGCAATACCAGCATTGCTGGCCACAGCAACGACGGTCTCATACTGACTTAAGGAGTGGCTAATCCCAAACGGACCCATCACGAACGCACAGAACGAAGCGGATCCACTGGCAGCGGCGCGTTGTTGCAAAGTGGCAGTGAATCCTCGACGGACCTGGACAAATAATTCCAGCGTGGTCTGCTTCTCTGATGACCAAGAGGTAACTACGAAGGGGTGTGATTGCATCCAAGAACCGAGGCTCACCGAGGGCATCCACAAGTAAATACACTGACCGGCGCCAATGCCAAGAGGCCTACCCAGAGTAACACGAATCTTTATGATGCGCCCGGTATCGTTTTCCAGTTCCTTACCGGAGCCTTCCTTGTTCCCAGCGATTGGTAGCTGAATCGGTCTGCAGGTAATTGTTGCACGCGGCTTTGGCCGGGATGAGATGAAGTTGTTCTGGTATAGAAACTTTCCAACCTGGTAGACAGTGATCAAGCAGAGGATAGACAACGGAACGTAGATATACAGTCGTGGGAAGACGGAACCCGAGGACAAGTGCCGCCAAATAGAATAGAAGAATAGGACTGCAAGGGCTTGATGAGTTCGCAAGAATATTTCATAGATCCGCTTCTTGAGGACAGGAAGAGTAGATATAATAATCATTGCTAACGATACGGCGCCCTAAATAGAAGTTAGCCTTGATATCTGGACAGCAAGGGAACCTGCCTACAATAATTGCAAAGAGGGTCTCCTCTTGTTTAGGGTTGACATCTTGCTGAATTGTCAACACATGAGTCGTCACTAAAGCACAAGTCATCCACCCAGCTGCACGGTGTATCCATTGGCAGGCTTCTAGGGGAATTCCAAGGATGTCTGCTAGGACACTCAGGTGAGGGACCATGAATAGGACTGTCATATTGACAAGAGCAAGTCTGCCTGCCCGAGTACTAGCCTCCTCGTATGTGTGGACATTGTACAAGACGACAACGCAGTTTGAAGCGCCGTACACTAGACATTTGATGATCCCTGCCCAGGTCCAAGGTCCGAACCATCGATGACGATTCAGCATATATGGATAAACGAGATATTTCGACACCAAAATGGAGAGTACGCGGGCCAAATCACAGAGAGCGGGTCCCAAACGAGCTACAATGAGAAGTAACAGGATGCCGCCAACGGCAATTCCATAAATATTAACGGCATCCATAAATGATTGAGAGAAGTGGATTCTACACCAGAAACTATGCAGTGAGCAATGTCGTAGACGAGGGCGCTGAGGACCTTATATAGCCTTCGTAGGCAAAGGCCTTACATAAGCGTCCAGTTTGGTTTCAACAAACAACACGGTGCCATTCTGTTTCAAACACTCAAGAGTCAATAACAATAGCCCTATAAATACGCAATGGATCCCCCATTGGAAAGATGAAGTGAATCAAGTCAGACCAAGGTGAATCACTCTATAAAATGACCGCAGATTCAAGTTCCAAAAAACGTCAATTGGATACTCCGCGAGCGAGGAGTCAACAAAGAGGCAGGCTCAGGAAGACTCTTTTCAAAAAAGGCTACACCTACAGTGTTGAGTGTGACGCTGATGTTTATATGGTGATCCGGCTAAGAGGCACCGGTCGAATCTTCACTTTTCAGTCCGATTCTACCGAAGCTTTCAGCCCGTCTCTCCGAGAACTAGTGCGCACCTCCCCCCGTTGAATGGCTTCCCGTAAATTAATGACAGCAGGAACGCCATTGGCCCAAGCCACTAAAGACCACTTCTAAGAACTTCCTCAGTCAAAGCGCGAATTCAATCGACGAAGCCAAAGCGATGCCCTCATGAAAGCCATGTCGATACTGATTGCCATTACCTTCAAGATCGAAGTCCGAGACAGGAACGACGCTGGGTTCTGCCGGACTACTGTTACTTGCCTACGTTTAACCTAAATCGGTAATGCGAAATTAAATCATTTCTTTGTTTATGGTCTGTGATAAGACTCAGTGAATGCATATGTAACAGACTTATTCCCGCCATATTAGTAAAAAAAAGGCAGCAAGTAATTATTATATACGGAGCTAAGGAGTATCAAACTGAAGAGACAGACTGCTGCCTGCAACGCCTGTCCTTCTAAGTCTTATGTGAAGACACGCAGGAGCCTTTCCGTTGCGGCTTCCATTGCTTTCTCGGTATTGAACCACTGGACCCGTTCAGAAAGAGGATTAAATTCCAAATGCAAACCGTCTGGACGGACGGAAGCATTCGTGGCAAATGAAGCATTAGCAAAAAGGGAATGAAAAATGGGATCAAGTGACTGAAAGTGAGCTACGGCGTTGGGATACGCGATTCTCACATAGTTGATCAAGAGCTTTAAGAAATCATCAGTGTATGTTCGGTTTTCCCTAACAAAAAGTGAGTCTCCTATCGATTAGTATGTTCGGGGCTGGCTTACATGTCGCCCATCACCGAATCCGGTGCGCATGTCAGAATTGTGATGATTCCAATGCCACTTCCTAGTCTCCACCATCGCTTGCCATAATTTTTACTGTCCACAAGTCGATTACGATTCCACGCGACCCTTTCCATTATGAAGTCATGGGCCATTGCCATGGGTGTGCGACCGTTTCGGTAGAACATGTTTCCCAATTCTTTCTCGTATACTGCAACGAATATGTAAAGAAGGACTTGTGCCAGACGACGAGCTATGGATTTGCCATGGCTGCCATCCTTGGGTTCTACCAATATTCGAGACGCAGCGACGCATTTTTCCACTGTGGAAAGACTGCGATAAGGAGGAAGTAATACTGGTTGAAACTCTCGTATCAACCACTCACTCCAGTCATTGAGAATGGCACAAGTTCCCCTAACTATCCGATCGCCTGTTTCATAGATCGTACGCAACGTCCCATCGTCTAATTTATCGACCCCACGCAACGTCTCCCCATTAGTGACTTGATACGCTTTACTCACCAGACATCTGAGGAGACACATTTGAGGAGAATAAATTTCGTTCGACGGTGAAGGATTACCCCGTTCCAAAGTGGAGAGTGTTGACGCTGACACGTCTCTATCTTCTCGAATAGCCTTTTTCCTCGTTGCTTTACGAGGTTTGCGTTTCGGTACACGGTTTGCTAGCTTCGGAGTATGAGAGGGGTAGGATAGAGGGGTAGGATATGACTCTACCCCAGCGGTGCCCGCCAAACTTCTTTCAGCAGGCATGGACTCCCCAGTATCATGACTAGACTGGTTACAGTCGCTAGTGGAGACGGTAGATGGTGATCGGCCCATCCCGGGTGACGCTGCCAAGCTGGAGTAAGAGGGACTGTCTTGGTCAGTGATCCATTCCGGAGAAGTGAAACAACCAAGACGTTGTGAATTTTGGCAGCTGTCAAAATTCCGCTCAATAGGATCGCTCGTCTGCGCCAAGTCAGGTGTAGCACCGACCATGGACGAAGAACTGTACCCATGTTCGTAAGGATCGACCTGCTCCATGTGATGATCTGCGACCACCGTGTTCGAGCCCGCTTCGATGGATGGAATGTTCTGCGCGGAGAGCATATCGCGAGACAGTGTCCCGTCGTTATAACGATCTGTGGAAGTTGTACGAGTTAGCGGGGTCACTCAAGAGGACCAGTATCCGGGAAGAAAAACACCTTGATAGTATGATGGAACTGGTGGCGAGGCGTGCGGAGGAGTTTGCGGTGGTCCTTGTACGTCGTCATCAACGTTTCGGTCGAACAGGCGGCTCATAGATCCTATCTCAGAAGTGGCATCTATGGTAGGAAGATTGGCCTCGTGACCCAGTGTGTCCGCCGGCTGGGGAGCACTGGATGAATTTATTTCGACGGGGCGAATAGTGTGGGCAGGAGGTTCACTTGTATGCGGCACGTCGTTATCATCTAAAGGAGCTGTTCTAGTTAGCAAAATCGACCTGTCATCATGTTGGAAAGGGAGCACCTTGATGAGCCTGAAGAGCCGTCCCATAGCTGGTATGTATGGATATACCCGGTGCCAGAAATATCTGGGTAAAGGCGAGTGTCTCTTGCAATAACAAAGGTTCCAGAGTCAGGAGTGAGTTCAAGTAGAAGGCCAAGTATTCATCAAACTGGCTGACCGTTAGGATTCCTTACACTAACAAGGTTTGTGGCCTCACCTGAACGCTTCTCGCATTATTGTATAGACGCTGATAATCTGCGTCCTCTATTTGTATCTGCAATTTCACATCAGAGACGGGAATCGCTTAATAACTCGAGCGGTAATATGCACAGCATTCATAACTTACGGACGCTGAATCTATGAGAATTCTCGTCAGACTCATGGTAGAAAGGGTGGGAAAGAAGTGATGAAGTTCCGCTGGACGAAAAGCCGTCCCATGGCCGGTATGTATGGATATACCGGGTGCCAGAAATTTCTGGGTAAAGGCGAGCTTTTCTTGCAAATAGAAAGGTTCCAGAGTCAAGATTGAGTTCAAATAGAAAGCTAAAAGTCCAGCAAACTGGCTGACTGTTAAAGATTCGTTATACTGACAGGAGATTGTGACTTCACCTCGATGCTTCTCGCGTTACTGTAGAGACGCCGATAATTTGTGTCCTGTATTTGTATCTGCAATTTCACATCAGAGAATAGGATCGCTTAATACCTCGAGCGGTAATGTTTATGACTTACCGCCGATGTATCTATGAGAATTCTCGTTAGGCTCATGGTAGGAAGGGTGGGAGAGAGATGGTGGAGATTCGCTGGATAAAAAAGAGAGTTGGCGACTATCGGTCGCAGGAGGGCGAGGGAAGGTTTTTAAAGGTGGTAGCCATGTTTGGCTCCTTAGAAAACCGAGGCCCAGGGAAAAGGTGGAAAAATGGTGAAAAGTGATGTGGGAAAGTGGTGAAAATCGTGGTGAAAAGCGTAAGCCGGTGGTAGTGTGCACACAACCATGAAACAAGCCAGCTCGCACGAAAACTGTGGCCATAATTTCCCATGGTTAGCGTTGTAAATCAAGATAAATTTGCAAGATCTTTTTCAGTTTAAATGCGAGGGATAGATTCGAAAGAGAAATCGTGTGAAGAATCGAATTTGTGTCTGTCTTTAACAATCGCACTCTCCGCAGCATAAACCAAAACGAGTCAGAACGAATTGTTGTCAAAGACGAGCTAGTGTCAGTCCGAGTTAGTGTCACTTCGAATTGGTTGCCAGTACTAGTTGGTGTTGATCGAGTTGGTATCGGTCCGATTTGGATTCATAATGAATCGTTGTTGAAAACGAGTTGGTGTTAAGTCCGAGTTGATGCCGGTACAGACTGGTGTCGGTTGTCGTCAAAGAGTTCGTTCTCGATGCACCCCGCAGCCGTGATTGGGAATTCGCCCACGTGCGAATCAAATTAGTCCTGCCAGGCACCAGACACGCCTTACTCCATAAGTGGAGTATCGAAACGCGTCGAATTTCGACGAACCTCTTCTTATTCTGAAACAAACCAGATCGACGGTCGATCAGGGTCTGGTCTTAATCCCTTATCGGCAGGCACAAAGCAAGTCCTTCACAAGCGTCAGATCTAGATTTATCACCAGTGAGTATTTTCCTAATGTGGTTAATGGACCGCCACCGACGTCATACCTTATTGTTTTAGAAGAGTCTCGATACAAGTATGTACTCTGTAAGCAGGGCCAAGTCCCATCGGCAGCGGTCGGGAAGATTCCTGTCTGATGCTGTCATACGGTGCTGGTAACGACCCGTCTCGTGCTGTCTTGCACCCATACGGTGCTGGTAACGATCCGTCTCGTGCTGTCTTGCACCCATACGGTGCTGGTAACGATCCGTCTCGTGCTGTCTTGCACCCATCCGTGGTCCACCTTTAGAAAATCCAAAAAAAAAAGGAGAAAAGAGAAAAAATAATTTAACAATTTCTGGGGGAAAGGATGCCTACTTTGAATCTGTCCTGTTCTGGAGATTTCGTCGTTGTGATGCCGCAGCCTGCCACGGAAGAAAATATTTATCATTCTCACGAATTCATGACTAATTCCTAGAACCAAAGCATTCCTAAAATTTAGCAGATCATTCTCAAAAACGACTGGTTCTATCCTGTAAATACAGTCTTTGTCCTCAAGAAAGTCGTCTTAAATTTCCAAGACGCATTTGATCACAAGCGGGGAAGCAGTCTCCTGTATGGTTGGGCTTAGACTATTCATCGCACCGTATCTCTATCTATTAGGGGCTCCCGAGGCTTGTACCACGACGATGTGATATTTGTTCGGGTGGTGAATTTCAGTAGAAAATTATCTATTCAAGAGTTAAACTTTTGATAAGGCTTTTCGTTGCTTGTGTCGTATGTGGGTCATTTATCACTGGTGATAATCGAGGTACATTTATAATTTCTTTCATTGGATGATTCCAGATACCAGGAACACCACGAAACTCAACCCGGATCCGTCGGTATGCAACGGCAAGGCGACTATGTAAAACAGATCACTCTAGGATAGATTTTGCAGTAATAAGATTGCTCATGGATACTTGCACGTATGGATTCTCCGAAACCCATTACCTTCCCATTAGTGAAGGGGGGATGGACGGGATCGTTCTTTTCTCATTGAGCCAATCAATGAGGATCCAATGTCACAGGTACCATTGCATGGGGCTGGGTAAGAGACGAGGTGTGTTTGCTAGCCAACCTGATTTGGAGAAAGTATGACGAGAGAGACAGCATTGAAGACGAGATCGGTCATTTTCATACTACATTTGATATGACAGGAAGATAGTAAGTACATGGTCGCTTAGTAGAGCTTCTGCTGCGACCTTGTGTGAATGAGCAATCGATGAACCGCAATCCACCGATGACAGCCAGCGAGAATGACTCATAAAGTGTGACTCACATTGCTTAGAATGTTCCAGAATCACAGTGGCGAAACTTTCCAAAATGTCAATAGTTGAAGGAAGGTGAGAGTGACGGCAAGTCATAAGATGAGAAGTCTTTTTTGTGCTGGTTGTCTTATCTAACCAGCCTTGCTGGTGAAGCAGCCAGAAATAATCGTTGACGGATTTGAAGCTCTATACTAACAAACGCTGACATCTGTCGACGCTCAGTGGTTCAGTTAAGGAATGATCAACAGGTAATCGACAAGGCCTGGATTGGAAATTTAGGTTGCCTTGTAGGGTACGGTCACAACTATACTTAACTAAGTTGGTTCCCTGGGCTCAATCGCTAAAGCCAGACTGTGTTCTTTGCAGGATCATGATCTTTCTAGAAAGTTGTGAAACAGCTGTCGGAGCATGGCTGCCTAGCCGTTACATCTCGACAGATCGATTGAGCATCTTGTCCTATGAGAGAAATTATACCCCGATTCTATTACCGGTGATAGACCCAAGGCATAGATTTGGAACTCCGCATTGTCCAATAGAGTAAGATCAATTAATTACCTGGACCGTGATAAATTACCCTCGTGGAATACAGTAAATTGATTTTCTGATGAGTAACTTTCACCATTCAAATATCAATCATGCATAATTTCACCCCGTCAAGAGCTTTATGGAGAAACCCTTGCCTATCAATATTACTGCATCTTGTTTCACCACTCTTTTCACCTGTTCAGGTTGAGTGTAGTAAGTTGTTCATTGTCATTCTAATCTTGAGGGGCAGATGGCCTCATAATATACACTATGTATGCACAGACCCACCTCCTTATCGGCACAACACATACACCGAGACATTCTACTGTATATCCAACATCACCACTCCTTCCACCACTCCTTCCATCACTCAGTTCAATTCAATCCAATAATCGATTCACCTATCATTTCATGATCATATGTATCAGCAATTTTCGTCAGTATGTGATACCTATCCCTAATGATGCCCTGTGTGTAGATCAGTGGTGAACCTCTTTAATTCATGGATATTTTCAACACGTGGAAGGTAGGCGGGCGCGCGAGCAATTACATACAGTATCATTTTAAATGTAGCTAGCGCAGCGAGGGCCAGGGTAAATGAAATCACCCGCGATAGAGTGCCTACAAAATATATATATCTAGCAGCACTATCCAAACGGCCGCTTGCTACGTCTATTGCACGTTGTACTGCAATCATAGTGGATACAGTTGAAGATATGTATTAAAACAAGCAGGTATACAGTATAAATCTCAAATGTCTTAAGCTTCGTTGCAGAGAAGACAAAACTACGATAGCGTAACCAGTACGGTAACATACTTATGAAAAAGAAGTCTTTTTTTGTGCTGATTGTCTACCTAACCAAACTTGCTCGTGGCATAGGTAAGCCAATTAGAGGAAACTCAAGTTATTTTATTTACCCACCAAGGGGTTATAGTACATGCTAGATACTGGGCGCCTGCACAACATGGAAATTAGACCGTCATATTCTAGCTTTTACAAAGGAGGACAGAGCTTAGCGTGCTCTTAGCCGACAGGTAATATCACCTAACAATCAGTTATCACAGAGAGGCTAGTCATCACTGTGTTTCTAGACAGGAGACTCACCAAGCTGTGGCTACAGTTCATAAGTACTTAGAACGACTCCGCGATAGGAAATCCCTAGTGGAGTAATCGACCCCATCGAGTAGGTTAATGAGATGATTGTTGGTTTTGACGGTCATTGTTTTGTGGCATGTTACAATTGTTGTAAGACCCACTACACCCCCACTAGTTATTGGTTGTAACGGTATCTGAGTTAATCCGCGATCCGTACCGGACCAAAACATCCGACTGATCTTCACAGCAGTCCGCGTCTTTCATCATCTGGGTCGAACCGAACCATTGTGCATATTAATGGCTGACGATAGCTCACCGGATTACAAGAGCCTTTTGCGGCGAGCAGAGGAGTTACTTCGGCAGGCGGAAAATTGAGAACAACGGGAAGCAGAGCTACGCAGGCAGGCGGAAGATCGGGAATAAAGGGAAGCAGAGCTACGCAAGCAGGAAGCAGAGCTACGCAAGCAGGAAGCAGAGCTACGCAAGCAGGAAGCAGAGCTACGCAAGGAGCTACGCA